GGTGGATTTTTATAAGGCAGAGGAAGGTCGAGCTGAATTAAATAATGTATTACGCAAAGTCGCTTCAAATATGACGTTTCGTTACAGAAAATGACGGTAAAAAATAAATATACGCAGCAGTGCTAAATCCGTACGTGACGTCACTGCAAAAGAGGCCCCCCCCCCTTCATTAATATTTATTCCCGCGTGGAAATTTACACTAATGCACAAGGTCGCACACTCCACATGCCGCACCCCCTCCCCTCATTAATGAGCGGGTGACGTGACTCCACATGCCGCACCCCTCCACAATAACCATGAGGGGGTGACGTCACTCCACATGCCGCACCCCCTCCCCTCATTAATGAGCGGGTGACGTCACTCCACATGCCGCTCCCTTCCCCAATAACCATTAGCGGGTGACGTCACTCCACATGCCGCACCCCCTCCCCTCATTAATGAGCGGGTGACGTCACTCCACATGCCGCACCCCTCCCCAATAACCATTAGCGGGTGACGTCACTCCACTTGGGGCAACCCCCCTCATTAATAATCATGAGCTGAACAATTTTTCTATTTTATATTTTAGATTTACTGCAATATACACCCGTCCTTGGACGGGAAAAAAAGCTAGTGCAACATGTTTTTCCATACTTCTTTATTGAAAACGAATTTCTTTAGACCTGCTTGTGTTTATTTTGTTCTCCTTTCCCCACACCTCAGATTACCACGGTTGGCTACATACGTTCCAAAAGAAGTTCAACATACATACATCTAATTACATTTCTCTTCGCAGTTCCTGCAGCAGTGTAATCACACGATGCTGACCATGTGTCGTGCTCCCTGTGTTGTGGTGTGGTTGCTCGTAGGCAAAACGGCTCCCTGCCCAACGGGACGGTTGTGAGCGGCACCTCCCTGTCCTTTGAGCGGCCGCTAGTGGAGTCAGACTCTGGGTCGTTCTCCTGCTGGGCCAATAACTCTGTGGGCTGGGGCGAGGCGGTGGTTATCATTACCATCCGGACAGGTACAACCACCGCTGCTACAACCACCGCTACTACAACAACTACATCCACTACGCCCGTGGCAGCCACAACACCAGGTACATCAGCAGCTGCTTTCCTTTGTTGACTTACCACTGGGCCCCCACTGTTACAAAAAATTAGTTTTGCGTTGATAACCAAATAAATAATTGCTGCCCAAAAACTGATGTCACCGTTTTTAAAACAGTAGCCCCATTTTTAAGACAGACGGGCAGAAAAAGCTCGCAACTGTGAAATGCAATTAGAGGAAGATTTGTTTTTTATTTGTTGTGAAGTCTTTAAATCATGAGAACCAATCACAAGCATTACGGCAGGCCAGAAAAGCAAATAGATTTAACAAAACAAACACACCGAGCACTGTGTTGCATGTACAAAGGCTCTAAAAAAGCTTATTCGAGACAAAATGTCCACACGTGCAGTTCTTTTGAACTTGTGGTTTCATACTCTTTGGTTTTTTCGGTAAAGTCACGTAGGTAAAAAAATAAATAAGCCTCCTTAACTTAACCATCCTCCACGGCCCATCCTGGCTCCACCCCCTACTTAATCTGTATATTGTCTCGTGTCTTATAGTTCTCTCCACTTGATATAGTAATTTTGCTGTGATGGTGCCACCTGAAGACGGAAGCTTGTGTTGCCTCCGAAATGTCGTGATTTAATTTCTTTTTTATTTTATTTTCTACCTACGTGACTTTACCGAAAAAACCAAAGAGTATGGACCCTAGCAGTCACAAAAACTTCAAATCTAGAATTATGGTTTTGTATCATGCATTGAGAGCTTTCATACATACAATGTACATTTTTGGGCTTTAAAAACTCAGAACATCTCGTAAATATAATTCAAGATATTAAGCTTAACCTCAATGATAATCTTGTACGTTTTGATTTGACTTCTTTGTTCACCAGAGTTCCGGTCAACAAGTAAATTAAATTACTCGATACTCTGGAAACGAACACAGGTTTTGCCAATGATATCCCACGACTAGCTGAACACCGTCTTACAAACACCTATTTCTTGTGGAAAGATGATTTCTAGTTCACCATGGAAGTGTAAGTTGACAGAACTCTCCCATTTTTGGATATTCTGCTCGGGCACGGCTGAAATGGTAAAATGACACACAGTGTTTACTGATATAAAAAAATACACTGATGCCTTTCTGAATGCAGAGTCACACTATCACCCCGCACAGAAATCCTCTCTCATCAAGATGCTCATAAATCGGGCTAAGAAAGTGTCAGATGGTGATAGTCTGAGAAGCTAAATTAAACATGTTAAAGCAGCGTTGCGATTGAACGGTTACAATGATGCACAAATAAACAGGGCACTGAATGCCAAAACCAAATCAAATAACACGAGAGTTTAAAACTGACCAAGTAATTAAAACTATTAAAAGACCGTACATTGTTGTAGTAACAGATAAACTATCCAGACTTTCCATAATACAGGTTTTTTTTGGGTAAGATCGCCAAAATATATAAACGTGTCATTAAAACCGCCACCCGTCAACACAGCCAATTAGCAAGGTTTGTCACGTAAACAGAACGTGCCAATTCGTTACTCGTACAGCACACCGGTGTGTTGGAGAGCCGAGCCACAGCACTTACAATCTGAGTACGACCTTTCACCAGTAATTACAACCAGCTTCATGAGGCGACAGCCAGAGAAGTCCTCCTGTTTAGTTTCTTAAATAGAGGGGTAGACGTGATGACAAAACATGTGCGCTCTCCTTGTACGAAGTGGGGGGGGGGGGGGGATAATGAATACATATAAATTACTATGGGTATTCATTACTGTTTGGGTTATTTATATGTTAATTAATCAACATACATTATGAATGCAAATTATGCAAGCCCACTGTTCTTGTACTTCCTGTCGATTGTGTGTACTAAAATAGCCGTACCAACGGTAACCCCTATTGAAGTATGGCGACCTGTATAGGCATGCATTTAAACAATATATTATTTGATGATTCGCTTTCAATCAGCAAAGTCTGTGACTATCTAAACGGTTACAATTATTTGTATTTCTCTCAATTTCGACAGATTCTGTAATTAGTCTTGGCAAGTAGAAATTAGTTACGCTCTCATCAAGCCACTCATACATCGGGATAAGAAAGTGTCAGATGGTGATAGGTCTGAGAAGTGAAATACAAAATGTCAAACAAGAAACGCTGCAATTTAAATGCATGCCTATACAGATCACCATACATCAATGGGGATTACCTATGTAGTGACTGACTCAGATACACTAAGAGTATAAGTCACTATGTTTATTCACAGCCTTAACAGTTCACACTTAGTAACTACAGCTCACAGTCAGGACAGCTGGCAGACTGCCTGACTGACGACACTGAGATGTAGAAGACGTAGACGGCGACTAAGACTCCAGCAGCACGACGAGGGGATCCCACTCCAGGCAACAGCCCCGAGCTCCCGCTCAGGGCCCCCTTCTATCCTCCCAGCATGGCCTCGCTCCGCCCCGGCCACGCCCCCTTTCTAGAACCTACTAGCGGGTTCCCGGGTTTCCCTCACGTGCCCCTTCAGTAACCTTTCCCCTACATCCCTCTCTCTGGTCTATTTACGTGACCTGCTGTAAGTCAGGGCTGCTGTAACTGCAAATCCCCTTCCTTGCCAACAACACGCGCTATGCTGCTAAGTGACTGATTCTATGTCACTACACCTGTATGCAAACAATTACCTGTATTGCACACTAACGACAGGAGGTACAAGAACAATGAACATGCATAATGTACTTGCATGTTGGAAAAGTGCCCACATGGAAGTGGATATCACAGAGCTACCGCTCGGATAACATTATTCAAGTGGGCTATGGTACACATGGTAGATGGCACAATTTCCCACCCATCCTGTGTAAAAAAGAGTAATATTTGTAAAACGGCCATCAAATCGATTTTTTTCTCAGAACTGGAATTTAGCCATATCAATTGTGTAACTTTATTGATCTCTGTATAGGTTCATGCAAGTACTGTATATGTATCTCCTAAGTCAATGGTGACTGTGCTAAGACCATCAGCTCACTGCACTTGAGAGCCCGATTTATTCACAACTCATTATATGTGAATCTATGTGTCCCTATCTATGTGAATCTATGTGCTATGAACCCGGCGACCCAGGTTCGATTCCCGCTCACGGTCGACACCAGTGATGATTAATTATCTGAACCGGTATTGGGCCTCCCCGAGGTCGACTCAGCTGGTGTGGTGTGTAAACATCCCCACTAGGGAGACAAAGGCGATTAGTCATGGTGCTGGCCACCCCCCTCGTTTGCCGTGCTGGCCTTCATAGTTGCTCGCTAACAGCACCTGCCCCAACAGTCCTGTGAAGGCTATATGGGGGATCTTTGTCTTAAATACGCCACCTATGTAAGTAATTGGTGACCAGGCTAAGGCAATGACCTCGCTGCACTTGAGAATTGTGTTTAATCATTGATTTCTGAAACAAACCCAAGATCCTAGCGGTCGTGACTCTGTGGCAGTGAAGGCTTAACCTGGGTAATAGAAACTTGGATTCAAAGCCATAATCTCAGAAATTCCGGATCAGCTCTGAGCTCTGAGCCAGATAACATATTTTTGATGCGAGTGTGAAAAAAGTGAGCTTAAACGAGCCCTCTCGTGTGTATGTGTAACCATAGCAAACTGATAAGTGATGGTAAAACCCACAGCTCACAAACGGCTATCTCAAAGGTGGACTTTGGCACTCGCATCTCCAAACTGCTGTAGGAGGCCGCTAAACAAACACAGGTGAACGAGTGTCAACCTTCAGACGAGATAAATCGGCGCACGTCACGGATATATTTAAAATAGGGACGCCACGATGGCTAGGATACGTTAACGACCTTGCCTGGTATACAGTAGGTCGTGGATTCGATCCCCACCCTTGATGCCTGCTGTATATTTGGAATTTCCGTGTGTCTCTCCCCATGATTGTATGACATTTTCTACGGGTCCTCCAGTTTTTCCCTCCACATTTAGAATCGGTGTGCGTTGATAGAATATTTGGCTACTATAATTTCCACATGATAAGCCACTTCATTGGGCTATCATTTGTGGCAAGGTCGCTTCTAAAAAATAGCTATACAGCTCAATAGGAGATCTGCCCCTGCCAAACACTTACTCCCAATGCGAGGCTGACTAATTACACCTTGCAGAGGATCGCTCTGCTAAACAAAATAGTTTTGCGGTTTAATTTGCAAATGCGAGGTCGTGTTTTAAGTCAATGTTTAAAAAAAAAATCATGGAAGCTGGTTCGTAAGTGCGAGAATTCGTAAGTAAACAAAAACTTTTTCTATTTTACCATGAGCTATGTCACTCTTTTTCAGAAGCGACCTGGCCACAAATGATAGCTCAATGAAGTGGCTTATCATGTGGACATATAAAGCAGCAACTGTGGGTGTTCGTAAGTGCAGGTGTTCGTAAGTCGAGGATAGTCTGTACCATTGTCTTCAGCCATTTATAAAAAAGTGGAGCTGGCATGTTGTAATGGCGAGCCACACTTCGACTTGCAATCCAGCTCGGCAGTTGAAACAACAGGAGGGCAAGTTCCTTAAATCCCTGCCTCGCCGCCCACCTCTGTCCACCCAGCAGCAGCAGCAGTACAAATGGCTATCCGATTGGCAACGTCACGTGCGGTGAGGCAAAGTGTGGGTACTCCCCACCTCTCCACCAAGACATCTCACCGGCACCGAAGACTAGGCCAACGTACTTACCGGAAAGGGCTATCAAGTGGCGGCGGGAGGGGGGTGCTCCTGCCAGCAGTGGCGTGGGCGAGCAAATTGCATGGCTGCACCATTACACGATTTAACCTTCAGGCAATATTAACAATTGCCCACAAATGTATGTGTCTTTTGTAGGTGGTGGCGCCGGTGTTGAGCCCTGGATCATAGCTGTCGCCGTCATTGTGCCACTATTGGTTTTGGCTGCAGTGGCTGCATTAGTCTTTTTATTCTGCAAGAAGAAGGGGACTCAAGCAATGTGAGTTCCCAATGATCGATTTATATCGAGGCGATGCGTATGCCACTGCTCATGGACAATAGGGGTTGGTTGGGCCAGTGTTGCCAACTCCTTGAAGCAGAATGTAGCAAAAACGAACCCGACAAAGGTTCCGGATGGTCACCTGAGCAGTGTTGCCACCTATATATTGTATTTTACCAGGTAAAGCCCACTGAGCTATATAGCTCTTTTTAAGAAGCAACCTGGATATCACAAATGAAGTGGCTTGTCACGTTGAAATTTACAGCAGCCAAATACTCTAAACGCGTGAAATTGATTTTAAAATGTGGAAGGAAAAACCGGAGGACACGGAAAAAAATTTGCATGCAACCACGGGGTGATGGAGAGAACGCAAACTCCAAATATACAGCAGGCATCAGGGTCGGGATTGAACCCACAACCTCCTGGTATACAGGAGGTCAAAAAGGCTTTCTAAAGTAAGAAGAAGAGTTCACAATATCAGAAAAGTCATTAATGTTGACATCTGCACCCATCAGTGCACATCCGTCAATTATGCTATGGGCGGCGATGTGTCCCAGCAGGTAGCGAATTCGCCGCTTCCTATTGCAGAGGTTCACAGTTCGAATCCAGTGACCGCCCATATTTTTAATACCTTGGCAGTTGCGAGTGTATTAACCATGACGATACCGCACGCCGCTAAGCTTCACTGTGGACGGATCGGCTCAAGCTATTGTTGTCATCGATGTCTAATGTTTATCTGCAGGAAGAAGCGAAAACATGGCCAGGACGCTCCAGTAGGTTCCGCACACCAACTGGTAAGCGGCCGTCCACGCTCGGCACATACTACGATGAGCCGGAGTGATTCCCATCCACAATGATTCCCAGCCGGAGTGATTCCTAGCCACTGCAATTTCCAGTCGCTGAAAAACGAGCGTCGAAATGACGCGATGCTTGTCGCCCGTTTTACAGCCCTGCTGGAAATTCGAGACTATAAAATAAAATAAATAACGGGTATTCTCTTTCCAATATTTCTCTCGCCATAATAGAAATAAAAAATGAAAGTGTCTTGTTACACGCCCCATTGACCGCAAGGCCTTCGATGCATGTTTGTATATTGAACTACTTTCTCACCTACGCAGCCAACCGTGCTAATCGGTTGGTTAAGCCAGGGGTCTGCAACAAAAATAACAATCAGAGACGATTTTTTTCAAATTTGGTAAAGAAAAACTCCCTGTTTCAAGAGCTGCAATGCATTTGGTGAAATCGAGATGGTGATCCTTAATAAATAACGTCACGAAGCAGCAGTCCTTAAATAGCCGCATGTTGTTGACCCCTGGGTTCGAAAAATCCAGAGACAGACCCAGTTTGAAGCTGGCTATGTATAGACTGCCAGTGCACTCTGGGAGAGGGAACTCAACGTGCTATGTCGCTTCGGTCGTTGGTTAGGTTGTATTTTAGGTTCCGTGGGTCAGGCGAGTTACAGTCCTGACCCAGTTACGTAGTGACCCGGTTGGGGTCTAGTTAACCGATTGTGTAGTTAAAGTAGTAGCCCCGTTGGGCTGTGTAATTAACGTGATGCTCCAGATTGCAGTGTGCGTCTCCGTGGAACCCACTACATATGCAAAAGGTAATGAAATAATAATAAAAAATCTATTAAAAAAATATTTTCCAATTGCATGAGTGCATCACTTTCTGCCGATTTTTCAAAACTAAGTGCAAGCTTAGGCCAAACAACAACAAGACAACGCAGTCCCTTCAATAACACTGCACATTTAAATTTAACTATTTCCCAGGCATGGGGTCAATTTGTCAAGTTTGTGTCGTTGTTGTTCGGGTGTTGTCTGTCTTCTCTCCGCCTCGTGGTCACAGAACGACCACGCTAACAATGACGTGGAGACCCATGGAGCCCAGCCACATGGAAAAGGAGCGCCCATTGGGCAACACATCCCCAGGTAACCTCACTGAGCGGTATTCATCTCACCGATCAACAAGTCCGGTGGTAATAGCTCACTGTTAATAAGAAGAATAAATTACATTTATTTGTAATGCGCCTTCCACTAATGTCTCAAGGTGCCTCGTAAGAATAAGGATAAGGAAAGGCCAAGAGAAGTAAAAGCTAAATATAATAAATTGACTTAAGAACATTTGTTGAAGACGAGACTTAAAGGTATCCACATCATCAGATAACTTGCCATTTTTTTTAGGGGCACTGTCTCCTTGGTGTGGTGTGGGACTGTTTTCTTGTTATTTCTGCTGCCTTGCCCAACCACGATGAAATCAGACCTATATATAAATAATGTATAATTAATTTCTATTTCGATTTAAAGTTTTCATGACTGCAGGGATTAATCTTCTTGGTTCTTTCGGTAAAGTCACGTAGAAGGGAAATAATAAAATAATAAAAATAAAACATCATAAAATACAATTCTCACGACGTTTCGGCCACAACGCAAGCAGCCGTCTTCAGGTGGAGAACAGGTCTGTTGAAGACGGCTGCTTGCGTTGTGGCCGAAACGTCGTGATAACTATTTTATTATGTTTAAATTTTTATTATTTTATTATTTTCCTTCTACGTGACTTTACCGAAAGAACCAAGAAGATGAATCCCTGCAGTCACGAAAGCTTTAAATCGAAAAATACAGCAGTGTGTTATACAGTAGGGTGGGTAGAGTAATACATAGTGTAATATTACAATGTATAGTGGTGTATAGTAATGCAGTATATAATTTAATGTTGGGTTTGTCTATGGCAGTATATAGTACGGGGTAGACCCGTGTGATGTAAGAGAAAAAAGTTTAGCTGGAGGCATATTATATATTTTCTTGCGACGTAAAATTGTAATGTATGACTTACTGTTAGTAGCTCAGCTTATTGGAGAGTATATTGAGTATATTGATGATATTGATATAGTTTATATTTTAGTTTTTTACGTGGTGGTTTGGCTGCTGCAGCTCCTTTACTATTAAAATGCCTTCCCTTTATTACTGCTAATCCTACTTCCTCCCTTTATTAGTGCTAATCCTACATAATACACGAACATAATATGACTTTGAGACCCCCTCCCCCCCACCGCCTACACATTCCACAAGTAGTGACTAATCCCATATCTGCATTTTCCATAAATATGCTAAATTCCTGTTGATATGCAAATTCCTTTGTCAAGGCGCCCTCCTCCTCTAACTCAGCTTAAATATACGCTGCCAAGCTTGGTGGTGTTCATTCAGACGCTGTCTTTCCGACAGCCCTGTTCTTCACATGAGGACAGCTGCTTGCGTTGTGGCTGAAACGTCGTGAGAATTGTATTTTATTATGTTTTACTTTTATTATTTTATTATTTCCCTTCTACGTGACTTTACCGAAAGAACCAAGAAAATTAATTTCTATTTCGTGACATTCTTACAATTTTCTCTATTTTGCACTCCTATCGTTTGCTGTATTGATTTGCTGTTGTAACTTAGCTGACCCCATGCCCAGACTGGACATCTGTGAAAAAGAGCTTAAAAGCTCATGTAACGTTACCCCTAACGGGCACCCCCCACCCTCTCTTCTGCAGTGAGAATAAAACAACAGAGTATGCGGAGGTGAGTGAACTCACTGCCACCGTCACTATTTTACAATGTGTGTACCCCTACCAGCCCTATCACTATCTGTTTACCCCTACCAGTTCTATCACTGTCTGTGTACCCCTACCATCCCTATTACTGTCTGTGTACCCCTATCAGCCCTATCTCTATGCGAGTGCCATTACGAGCCCTATCCCTGTGTGTGTACCCCGGCGTTATAATGGTGCGCGTTCCGCGTTGTGCGAAAAGTGTTCCCGATTGGAAAAAGCGTTCGTCATGGCGACAACGAGTCACGGTGTGAACGCCGTGCGTTGTGCGAGGGCTCCCTGTTACACCTTGACGACCGCGCGGAGTGAACTATTTGACCTCTGTCAGGATGGCAACTCTCTGAACTCGACATTGAAAGCTCCCACGCACTTCTGCCCTTCACTGTCACCCCCCACACCCATCCCCTTCCGTGGTGCCTCTAAAATGGGAACTGTAGATTACAATGCCTCCTCCCGGTAAAGACAATTTCACCGACGGAGGGCTGAACGGCAAACCGAATCGTGGCTACGAAGACAACCCTGCCGGCAGGTAAGGGGCACCACAGTGGCGAGATGTTAACGACCTCGTCTGGTATGAAGGAAAGGGTGGGTTCGATCGCGACCCTAACACCTGTGTTTTTGGAGTGAGTGTGTTCTCTCTTCCCGTAGTCACGTGGATCTTTCTCCGGGTCCTCCGGTTTTCCCCTCCACATTTAGATACATGTGTTTAGAATATTTGGCTGCTGCTATATATTTCCATGTGATAAGCCACTTCGTTGAGCTATCATTTATGATAGCCAGGTTGCCTCTGAAAAAGAGCTACATAGCTCAGTGGGCCTTACTTGGGAAAATAAAACATTGTTTAGTTTAGGTATTTTGATTTTGGAATCATGGTTGACGAGCACAGCCAGCTACCCAAGGCCCAAAATATCAATCAGGGCTGGAAAAACAAGCGGTGCTGTGAAATAGATGAAGGGGTTGACACATTTTCTTGCATTGAGCGAAGGTTGTGGTCAGGAATTGGCAAAAAGGGACGATGGGAAGGAGTTGCAAAGAGTAGAGCCATGCGTGGATAGAAAGGGGGAAGCATTGTGACCTGCAATGTGGTGAGTGAGTGGGTTATTAGGTGGTTGAATGGATAATTGAGTGGGTGAGTGAGTGGGTGGGAGCGGCTACCCGAGTTGTGGGTGGGCCTACCTGAGAAGTGGGTGGGGCTGTACGTGTAGCGGTGAATGTCTCACAGAATCCATGCGTGATCACGATTTGTTTTCTTGGTCTGTGTACATGTGTACTGATGCCTGCTGGTGTGTGTACGTGGTTTTCGTGTGTCTTGTCTTCAGTGGTGGAAAACAGTCACCACAAGCTGCTCCGGTAACGTTATTTCCTATGCATATACAAAAACAACAATAATCATCATCCTTGCATTTGTAGTGACTTACTCGGAGACACATCCATCTCTTTTGATGGAACTACCTAGCTAGTACAGTTGACAGGCTTTCTAGCTAGTGGAGTCTAAGGGTGGTCGAGATGGTGGCAACGAAGTTGACGAACAGCGACACAGCGAGGGAATCCACTTCCAGCAACAGCCCTGAGCTCTCACCCCAGGCCCCCTTTTATCCTCCCGGTGTGGCAACGCCCCCTTTATAGAACCTACTAGTAGGTTCCCGGGCTTCCAGATGGACCACTTCCTGAGCTTTTCATTAGATCTCCTCGCCCCCATATATACTCCTTCTGCTGACATGTGTACAGCCCCCTGCTGTCAGTACCACTTTTCCGTCAGCAGCCAGTGTTTTTACACTACACATTTATAGGGCGTGTGACTATATGCACTAGAATTGCAAAGCGCATCTCATCTCAGAGATTGAAAGGAAACCCCTCCCCCAGCCCCGCCCCCAGTGCCAGCTGTGCCTGTGTAGCATTAACTTTGTATTTAGTCTGGCTATAGGGGGTGACGTTTGCTACGCATTTTTAAAGTGTGGGTACTCCCACGCCTTCCCAAACGCGCACTGACCAGTGTGAAAGAGCAGGCCAAATATCCACTGCTGGTGGTCTCAAGTGGAGGGTCTTCCGCCAGCAGTGATGTGAGCAAGCAATTGCAGGGCTGCTAATTTAGCTACTGTTTTTGACCCAGGTCGCCAATGCAAATGTAACTCACCTGGTGTCTTGAGTTTCTCGCCTGTTGAAACCAAATCCACTCGACTCACTCACTCATTTACTCAGCATCCCACTTACTCACCATCTCACTTGTTCACTTGCTCACTCAGCATCTCACTCACTCGCTCTTCCAGATGACACTCTCACCTGGTCTCTTGAGATTCTCACCTGGTTAAGCAAAATCAACTTGTATTTGATCTCACCTACTATACCGCATACATACATAGTACATATACTTAATTGGTGATTGGAAATTACGCCTAATGACGATTAATACGATTGTGTGTCCTGATCAGGCGACGATTTACGCTGAACTCAATAAAGAGAACTTGGCTAAGAAACGTCCAGTTGGATCCACATCACCTGGCAAACCTACAAGGTAAACTTGTAACATTATTTTTTTCAAGGGCTCAGAATATATTCCCCCCCCCCCATTTTACACCAATTCTGCGATCGCTCATCTTGCATCGTCACGACTCGGAGTGTCCTCTCGGGTGACTCGCGGAGCTGTGCATGACCCTCCGTGTTGTAGAACGGCCCACGGAAGTGGATATCGCAGAGCTACGACCTCCTGCGATCCCTTCCTCAAGTCAACCCCGTCGCTTTAACATCACGCACGATGCTGCCTCTGTTCCATCCCTTTCGCACTTGTTGTAGTAAATGCCGCAAACGTACGTGTGGCATGTTGAACTTCTTTCGCACCGTACATAGCCAAGCATGCTAATCGGAAGTGCGGGTGACTTGACCACGAACTAAACACAAAAAACGCAGTTCTAAAGAAATTAGTTTTTCATCTAGATGATGATTTAAAAGTGTATAGCTCCAGTGGCTTCCTAATATCAGAAGAACGTTCTTGACGGCCACAGAAGCGCATCTGAAAGCGCTCAATGCAGTGACCGTCTTTAAATCAGAATATTTACAAAATGGGACATTTTTTTGCCAGTATCAAAGTATACAAAAATAAGAATAGATTTTACCCTTTCTGGCAATAAAACAGGAGTTGTGTTAAGATGTTCAAACACCAAATAGAAACCTTTTGCAAGGAATGAAGTCTGCATTAACAACCCGCAGTATTTATGGTGAACATGCAAACAAACATACTCTGATCAAATATGCATTGTCCGTCTCTGGCGTAGCCCAATCAGTTTTAAAAGAGAGGTTCAACCCCTGCCAGTGGTGTAGTGGTTAGCACGGCTGTACTTTGCAACCCAGCAAAGATCGCCCGTTCATTGTCCAGTCATTCTAAATGAACCGAACCCTCATCCTGTGCCCCTCATGCGTCCACTTTTACTATCACTATCTCTATGGCCCTTTGCTCGGGACTCCGAGGCCAAAGTGATTTCTTGCCCAATCGAACGTCGAGGTACTTTTCGCTTCTTCTGCTATTTACAGCCCTACACGTTGCTATGGGGTCGTCCATAAATGACATCACGCACCTAGGGGGGGGGGGGTCAGACATTTGTAACGATGTGTGACGAGGGGGGGCGGTTTGAAAAATGTGACGTCATGTAAAAATGTGCAACTTTAAATAAATATAGAATTGTTATAACAACGCTAATTTTGATTAATTTTCATTATTAACGATTTGATTATTAAAATTTACTAAGGTCACCTTTTATTTATTCCATGAAGGAGCATTTGCTTCTCCATGGGAGAATGGAGACGCATACATTTAAAAAAAAATTATGATTGTTATTAAACATTTTGATTCTAATGATTCTACCAGGGTTTTTCATTCTGTGGAATGAATGTGATTGTTATAATTGTACTCTCCATTTTGCTTCGTTCGACTACAAGTATTTTTTGTATAGTTATAATTACTTTTAATATTTTATAATTATAAGATAATTTCAATATAATATTCTGAACATCTACAGTTTTAGTTATACGTTGAATATTTTCAAGTGAATTTTATGCTAAATTTAAGCTTTCCAACGCCCCCTTTTTAATAAGTGTTTTTTCCTACAACATCAGAGTGCAGCGCCACATTAAATACGCACTACAATTACAATAGTTTAAAGCGATTTGAAGCATGTTTTATCTTCAAAATAGAAATATGGTGTTGGGGAGGGGGGCAGAGCTTTGTGACGTCATATTTGAGGGGGGGTCTGACTTTTTGTGACGCCGTGTGACGAGGGGGGCGGGGTAAAAAATTGTCCAAAATCGCGTGACATCATTTATGGACGGCCCCTATGGCATGGGCGAGTGTCTCCATAGGACAACCTCTGTTGTTTTCTTCCCCATAAAGTGCTACGGTCTGTTCTCCGATGTAACGCCGGTAAAATACGAAATTGTTTAGTTTAGGTATTTTTTATTTTGGAATCGACGAGCACAGCCACCTACCCAAGGCACAATATATCAAGCAGGGCCGGAAAAACAAGCGGTGCTGTGAAATAGATGGAAGGGGTTGACACCTTTTCTTGCCTTGAGTGAAGGTTGTGGTCAGGAATTGGCAAAAAGGAACAATGGGGAGTTGCAACGAGCGGAGTTGTGCGCTGTCTGTGTGTCTCCGTGTCTGTGTTTTGTCTCTCTCTCAAATTTAGTTCTACCTGATGACGGTTGCTTGTGTTGCAATCGAAACGTCGTACTCTATTATTTAATTTATTTTCTTTCTACGTGACTTCACCGAAAGAACCAAAGAGTAAAGGGGGAAGCGTTGTGACCTGCAGTGCGGTGAGTGAGTGGGTTATTAGGTGGTTTCAGATTTTCAGTTTTCAGTTAACATTTATTTAGCATAGCCCTGTGAGTCCTTCGGCTCTTCAATCGGGTGCAACCGCAACAAACAACAAATATGAACAAGAAAACAGAAAAATCCAGGAAAAAACAGCAAAAAATCTCCCAGAAAAAAGCACCGTACGCCAACGCTCTGTGCAAAAATCACAGTGGGATGCAAGCCAAACAACAACAACAAGACAACTTAGATTAAAGCCATCAGTCTAACTCCGTACTACAACAAACATGGCCAAACCAAAAAACTTTTCGAAATCGCCAAAATAAAGCCATAAAAGCAATGTAACAGCGATCATAGGAACTGTGACCGAAATTTCACAATAAACGATATAAACAACATGTACCACCAAAACCCTGTAGCCATAGCTGGCTGCATGAGTCACTCCACAACAGTAGGAGCGTCAGTTGGAATATCAAACATTTTCAATGCAACTTTAAAGATTAGCACACTAAATCTAAACACAAGATCATACTTTGGTGACACAGAAACCGCACGGGGATCCAGGTGCCATGGTGGCGAGGTGGGAACTACCTCACCTGGAGGTCCTGGGTTCGATCCTGACCCTGACGGCCTGCTGTTGTATATTTGAAGTTTGCGGTGTCTATCTCATGCTCTCCGGGTCCTCCAGTTTTTCACTCCACATTGAAATTCAACGTCACGCGTTTGAGTATTTGGCTGCTGGAAATGTCCACGTGCTGATGATCCACTTTGTTGAGCTCTCATTTGTGCTGAAAAAGAGCTGTGACCCTTACCCAGCATGCCCTGCAATGGATCATTGAGTGCGTGAGCGAGTGAGTGGGTGGGAGCGGCTACCCGAGTTGTGGGTGGGGCTACGTGAGTAGTGGGTGGGGCTACCCGAGTTGTGGGCGGGCCTACCTGAGTTCCGGGCAGGGTTAGGTGCCGTCCATAAATGGCGTCACGCACCCAGTGGCGGGGTGGGGTCAGACATTTGTGACGATGTGTGACGAGGGGGGTTTGAGAAATGTGACGTCACATTAAAATGCGCAGCTTTAAATAAATATAAACAATTTCGATTTAAAGCTTTCGTGACTGCAGGGATTCATCTTCTTGTTTCTTTCGGTAAAGTCACGTAGAAGGGAAGTAATAAAATAATAAAAATAAAACATAATAAAACAATTCTCACGACGTTTCGGCTACAACGCAAGCAGCCGTCTTCAGGTGAAGAATGAGACACTACCAAACTAGGAGCTTATATATAAGCTGCATTGGGGGTTGAAGAGCGCCTTAACAAAAAGAATGTGCATGTGAAGAGGGATTTAGCATATTCATGGAAAATGCGTAGGCGTTGGGCGGGGGGGTGTCAAAGTCATATTATGCCCATGCATTATGCAGGATCAGCAGCAACCAAGGGGGGTGCAGGGATTAGCAGTAACAAAGGAAAGGAATGTTAATGATATGTAGCTGCAGTTACTCAACAACACGTAGAAAGCTAAAGTATAAACTACATAAAAAACTAAAGTATAAACTGCATCGCACCATCAGTATACTTACTATACTCTATAATAAGCTGAGTTACTAACAGCAAGTAATACATTACAATTTTACCTCGTAAAAATTCTATAATATGCTTCCATCTAAACCTTATTCTCTTACATCACACGAGCATATACCGTACTATATACTGCCATAGATAAACCCAACATTAAATTATATACTGTATTGCTGTAAACCAACCTATATCTTTAAGAGTGTGCTCCTAATCTCAGCTCGTTACCTGTATAAAAGACACCTGGGAGCCAGAAATCTTTCTGATTGAGAGGGGGTCAAATACTTATTTCCCTCATTAAAATGCAAATCAATTTATAACATTTTTTACATGCGTTTTTCTGAATTTTGTTGTTATTCTGTCTCTCACTGTTCAAATAAACCTACCATTCAAATTACAAAATCAGCAGGGGATCAAATACTTGTTTCCCTCACTGTAGACTGCAGTCTATAATGTCGATTTGTTCTTTTTGCTAAGTTTCGAACTTTTACCGTTAAAGAAAACGCCAGTTGTAATGTCCGTTTGTCCCTGCTATGTGCCTGTATTTTACGGCTCTGGAGATGTGTTTGTGAACTGTCCAAAACGTTCGAGGAGGTCGTGTCATATGGTCCTTTGACAATCTGGAGATTTTCCAGATCGTCGTTAAATAGACTTTTTAATAAATGTTTTCTCTTACAACATCAGAGTGCAGCGCCACATTAAATACGCAACTAGAATGGCAATAGTTTAAAGCGATTTGAAACATGTTTTATTTTCAAAATGGAAATATGGTTTTCGGGGGGGGGGGCAGAGCTTTGTGACGTCATATTTGAGGGAGGGTCTTTTTGTGACGCCGTGTGACGAGGGGGGGGGGGGTCAAAAATCGTCCAAAATCGCGTGACGTCATTTATGGACGGCCCCTTACCTGAGAAGTCGGCGGGGCTATACGAGTCACGGTGACTGTCTCAGAATACATGCGCGTTAATGATTCATCTTCCTGGTCGGTGTACATGTGTACTGATGCTTGCTGGTGTATGTACGTGGTTTTCGTGTGTCTTGTCTTCAGTAGTGGAAAACAGCCACCACAAGCTGCTCCGGTAACGTTATTTCTTATGCATATACAACAACAATAATCATCACCCTTGCATTTATAGGGCGTTAGACTACATGTCCCAGAATTCAAAAAGAAATCCTTCCCCCCGCCCCTCCCCCAGTGCCAGCTGTGCCTGTGTAGCATTAACTTTGTATTTAGTCTGGCCATAGGGGATGACGTTTGCTATGCCTTTTTAAATCCTTTATATGAAGTTCGCTTGCTTGCTTGCGTGCTTGCTTGCTTGCTTACGACCGTGCAAATCTTTCGGTCGTTTTTTAACCCACTTCCCGTGATCCAATCGAGCTGACATTTTTCACACAGACTCGTTGTGCGTGACAATTAATGTTCGTGAAAATTATTTTTCCAAAATTTTACACTGTTTAGGGAAAACAAATAAAATATTTAATTACCAATTGCTTAATACTGGCAGACAATCATCTGACCCATAGGTGGCAGCCATCTCAAGCCAGAGGACGAGAGGACTCTAGCCGCCACGCATATAAAGGATTTATAGTGAAAAACTTTTTTTTACGGGTTATACTTGTTAAATCCTTTATATTAAGTTCGCTTGCTTACGTGCTTGCTTGCTTGTGTGCTTGCTTGCTTACGACCATGCAAACCTTTCGGTCGTTTTTTAACCCACTTCCCGTGATCCAATCGAGCTGACATTTTGCACACATACTCGTTGTGCGAGACAATTAATGTTCGTGAAAATTTTTTTTCCAAAATTTTACACTGTTTAGGGAAAACAAATTAAATATTTAATTACCAATTGTTTAATACTGCAGACAATCATCTGACCCATAGGTGGCAGCCATCTCAAGCTAGAGGACGAGAGGACTCTAGCCGCCACGCATATAAAGGATTTAGAGTGAAAAACTTTGTTTTTACGGGTTATACTTATTAAAGTGTGGGTACTCCCACGCCTTTCCAAACGCGCACTGGCCAGTGTGGAAGAGCAGGCCAAATATCCACTGCTGGTGGTCTCAAGTGGAGGGTCTTCCGCCAGCAGTGATGTGAGCAAGCAATTGCAGGGCTGCTGCTTTAGCCACTGTTTTTGACCCAGGTCGCCCTTGCAAATTGAACTCACCTGGTCTCTTGAGTTTCTCACCTGTTTAAACCAAATCAACTTGCATTTGATCTCACCTACTATATCGCATACATACATAGTACATATACTTCATCAGTGATTGAAGATTACGCCTGAGGATGGAGATGATTAATATGATTGTGTGTCCTGATCAGGCACCGATTTATTCTCAAGTCAATAAAGAGAAACCGGCTAAGAAAAGTCAATTTGGATCCACATCAGCTGACAAACCTACAAGGTAAACTTGTAACATTCTTTTTTTCAAGGGCTCGAAATATTTCCCATCCCCACCCCCCTCTATTTTACACCAATTCTACGATCGTTCATCTTGCATCGTCACGACTCAGAGTGTCCTCTCGGGTGACTCGCGGAGCTGTGCATGACCCTTCGTGTTGTAGAACGGCCCACGGAAGTGGGTATCGCAGAGCTACGACCTCCTGCGATCCCTTCCTCAAGTCAACTCCGTCGCTTTAACATCACGCACGATGCTGCCTCTGTTCCATTCCTTTCGCACTTGCCGTTGTAGTAAATGCCGCGAACGTACGTGTGGCATGTTGAACTGATTTCGCACCCTACGTAGCCAAGCATGCTAATCGGAAGTGCGGGTGACTGACCACGAACTAAACACAAAAAACGCAGTTCTAAAGAAATTAGTTGTTCATCTAGATGATGATTTAAAAGTGTATAGCTCCAGTGGCTTCCTAATATCAGAAGAACGTTCTTGACGACCACAGAAGCGCATCTGAAAGCGTCCAATGCAGAGTGACCGTCTTTAAATCAGAAAATTTACAAAATGGGACCTTTTTTGGCAGTATCAAAGTATTATAAATTTAAGAATAGATTTGACCGTTTCTGGCAATGAAACAGGAGTTGGGTTAAGATGTTCAGACACCAAGTAGAAATCTTTTGCAAGGAATCAGATCTGCATTAACAACCCGCAGTATTTATGGTGAACATGCAAACACACATACTCTGATAAAATATGCATTGTCCGTCTCTGGCGTAGCCCAATCAGTTTTAAAAGAGAGGTTCAAACCCTGCCAGTGGTGGAGTGGTTAGCACGGCTGGACTTTGCAACCCAGTAGAGATCGCCGGTTCATTGTCCGGTCATTCTAAATGAAGGAAGAACCGATCACTCATCCTGTACCCTTCATGCGTACGCTTTTACTATCCCTATCTCTATGGCCCTTTGCTCGGGACTCCGAGGACAAAGTGATTTATTGCCCAATTGAACGTCGAGGTACGTTTTGCTTCTTCTGCTATTTACAGCCCTAGCAGAGGAGCCACTGGTAGGAAATTACACGTTGCTATGGCAGGGGAGAGTGTCTCCACAGGACAACCTCTGTTGTTTTCCTCCCCATAAAGTGCTACGGTCTGTTCTCCTATGTAACACCGCGTGTTGTTGTCATAGCGCGAATTGGATCTAACGCTATGAATGTATTAGCGAGCAAGTGTTTCTACAACGTGGATGTGGATTGGATACATAATGCAATTTAAGTGAATGGAACTACGTCGCATGAGTAGGAATAAGTGGTTTGTATGGCTGTCTCGGTAGCATCATCATCGCACAAGGCATTGGGATGCTGCTGGATGCTTCTAGATGCCACCCATGCGCCTTAGTCTTTGTTCGGCCTGCGTTACACATCTCACGGCATTATCGCGGACTGTGCTTTACTCCCTATGTTATATATTTTTATTATAACGCGATGTTTCCATAACGCGGTGTTCTTCAGGAAAGCAAATACCACCTCGTAATAGGAGAACGGGCTAGACTCATTTTATTGATCTCTCTCTCTGTTGCTTTGCCTTCCAGTTCAAACCTCCAAGCAGAAGATAATTACGCAAATGTGCAACAGGTGTGACACCCAACACGGACGCAAGTGCACACAGCAGCAAGAACAATACCGTTTCTCTACCCTGAACTCCTAGCGTCTTGTTGCATTGTTGTTGTAACGTGCTGCGTTGGCAGCGGCAGCGTAACCCTTTGCCGCGCTCTGCTACGAGCCCCGGCTATGACCCGAGTTCGATTCCTGCTCACGGTCACAAACACCGGTAACGATTATCTGAACCAGTCATGGGCCTCCCCGAGGTCGTCGCGGCCTTAAATGAGTACCCGGTGCGGTGTGTAAACATCACCACTGGGGAGACAAAGGCGGCCGGTGAGTGGTGTGCCGGCCCTCGTGTGCTGTGCCGGCCTTCGTCGGTGCTCGCCAACAGCACTTGCCCCACCAGTCTGGTAAAGGCTATACGGAGCGGATCTTTGTCTTTGTTAACTTCAATATGGGACCTTTCTTGGCAGCATTAAAGTATAACAATAGGTTTTAACCTTTCTGCCAATAAAACACTTGTGTAAAGATGTTTGGTGTTTTAACATTTTGACACAATTGTTTTATTGCCAGAAAGGGTAAAACCTATCGTTATATTTGAATATATTGCCAAGAAAGGTTCATATTGTAGCTGCTCACCCCGAGATATAAATGCCCTGGTAGTGGCATTGCCCTTGTGCTGTTCGCCTTTTGGCGTTTTCTGGTCTAACACTTTGAGACGAGGCTCTAAAGAAAGCTCTCTGGTGTGGACCAATCAGTTTCAAAGACAATGCCCATATATTATCACAGCATGTTGTTTTTTGTTTGCATGTTCACCACAAGTACGTGTGGTTAATGCAGACAGGATTCCTTGAATTATGATTCTGTTTGGTGTTTTAACATCTTGACACAACTGTTTTATTGTCATAAAGGGTAAAAACTATTGTTAGACTTTTGTAACTTGCTGACCCTGTGCCCCCGCTGGACATCTGTCAAAGGGAGCTTCACAGCTCATAGGATTGCCGAAGCCAAACGTACCTCCAAAGCCGAGGAAGGATTCCCAGAATAACAACTATTGAAGGTACCGTGACTTCACGTGTCTTCAAGTATCATGATGTGTATTCACTTGTCATCACGGGCGTTCGGGATTGTAGTCCACATAATTCGGGGTAATGGTGACATCCTTGGAGAGTTCTTTGGTCTTGGCCATGGTGGAGAGTTTGGAATCTGATTGATTGATTGCTTCTGTGAACAGGTGTCTTTTATACAGAGCACACTCTCTTTAAGAGTGTGCTCTTTAAGAGTGTGCTCCTAATCTCAGCTCGTTACCTGTATAAAAGACACCTGGGAGCCAGAAATCTTTCTGATTGAGAGGGGGTCAAATACTTATTTCCCTCATTAAAATGCAAATCAATTTATAACATTTTTTACATGCGTTTTTCTGAATTTTGTTGTTATTCTGTCTCTCACTGTTCAAATAAACCTACCATTCAAATTACAAAATCAGCAGGGGATCAAATACTTGTTTCCCTCACTGTAGACTGCAGTCTATAATGTCGATTTGTTCTTTTTGCTAAGTTTCGAACTTTTACCGTTAAAGAAAACGCCAGTTGTAATGTCCGTTTGTCCCTGCTATGTGCCTGTATTTTACGGCTCTGGAGATGTGTTTGTGAACTGTCCAAAACGTTCGAGGAGGTCGTGTCATATGGTCCTTTGACAATCTGGAGATTTTCCAGATCGTCGTTAACCTCCCTTTGCCCCGGAGTTTATTATTTAATGGCTCTTTATGACCTCCAGATGCTTGGTGTGGCTTGTGGGAGGTAGTGGGGTTGAGGGTGTTTGTTTCATTTTTTGTTATCGATTATTATTATAAAAAAAATTGGCAAAATTATTCTTAATATCAATTTTTGGAAAAAGGCCTACATATACAACACCCCTGACGTCTCCGCTGGTGTCTCTCTTGGTGTCTCCCCTGGTTTTTCTGACGGTGTATCCCCCGTGTCTCCCCCATATCTCCCCCGTGTCTCCCATATCTTCCCCGTGTGCAGTGAGACTCAAGAAAGTGAAATTGAGCCACCCGCGGGACGTGATGAATGGACACGAAAAGACAAGATCTAAGAAGACAAGGTCTCTCACCTGTGTCTCAATGGCCAGGGGAATAAGCACTCAGCCAGCACCGCTTAGGATCTGGGTTAAATCCCTAGGACAAGCGTTTCTCCTCCCATCTCGGGGTTTAAAATGGCCGGGTCAGCGCAGTATGCTAGCGCCGATTAGAGTTTGGTTTCTGTGATTTTTTTGTGTTGATGATTTTATACAATGTAATGTCAAGTTTTCATGAAGTCGCGATTGTTATGTGGTCACTTCCCCATAACTTTGTAACCGTGTTGTGAATTGTTTATTGCGTTTTTTTGTGTAATTCTACTGCACCTCCAGTGTGAAATTAAGCAAACTTTGAAATGTTCTTCATCTGTGCGAGCTCGATATAAGCCCATCGTGATAATTCATTTAAACTTAACATGCCCCCGAAATCACAAAGCGTATCTCATCTCAGGCATTCGAAGGAACCGCCACTCCCCCACCTCCCGCAGTTCCAGCTGTCCCTGTGTCGCATTCATTTTTGTATTCAGTCTGCGCGTGGAAGAGCAGGCCAAATATCCGCTGCTGGTGGTCTCAAGTGGAGGCTCTTCCGCCAGCAGTGACGTGAGCAGCAATTGCAGGGCTGCTCCTTTAGCCACTGTTTTTGACCCAGGTCGCCCTTGCAAATTGGGACTAATCTGGTCTCTTGAGTTCCCACCTGGTTAAACCAAATCCACTCTACTCCTTCGCTCACCATCTCACTCATTCACTCACTAACTCATTCACTCACTCACTGAGCATCTCACTCGCTCGTGTAAATGATAATAACCCTACAACACGTATTATGACGCACTTGCTGCCAGTTGTAAAAGAATAGCGAAACAATTACAATTAAATGCACTATTAATGTAATGCACATATGACCGCCAATCATTTCCATTACTCCCGAAAATGTTTTGCGAAAGTGCTAATCTCACGAGCGTTCTATTTCTGACACAGCCATTGAAGCCAGAATGTGAGAGGTTCCTACATGTTCTTGACACCGCCATTATGAACACTCTGAGAAAAAGTTAAATACATTGTGTGACCCAGGGCTTCAATCTAAAATCTCGCTATGTCCGGCATGACCATTATGAACCTATGGGCGCCACGGTGGCGAGATGTTAACGGCCTCGCCTGGTATGCAGGAGGTCGTGGGTTCGACCCCGACCCTGACGCCTGCTGTATATTTGGAGGTTGCGTGTTTTTCTCCGGGTCCTACGCCCCCCCCCCACCCTCAAATTTCGAATCAACATCATGCGTTCAGAGTATTTGGCTGCAATAAATTTCCACGTGATGAGCCACTTCATTGGGCTTCTGAAAAAGAGCTACAGAACTCAGTGGGCCTTACCTGGAAAAATAGGAAGTAGTTTTATTTTTTATTTAAGCCTTAGATCTTAGGTCATGAAGGCTTACGTCGATGAGTGACTGAGATTTTTTTTTTCTCCCAAACTCTGGAACTCGTTCCCCATGAGATTTCAGGATCTCATTTAGTCCATGGACATTTTTAAAACATGTCTTTGAAAAATTGCCCTGAGCATTCATTGTGTTAAGTGTTTTTAGTTTTCGGGAGTATTTTTATGCCGCGTGTCCACATCTCTGTGTCCTGAACAGAGTTTTTAAATCATTGATGGGGGGCACTATATACATCGAATATATTATTATTATTAAGCTCTGCTTGACAGGTCCTCAGTACAAGCTGGGGCTGGCATTGGCACTGATGTTATTATCCACGACTGCAAATAGAACTTCGGATCATTCGGATCACGGCGCAAAGCGCACCCACTGCTTCCCACTCGGAGAAAAAAATTATGATGGCACCGTGGCACTTGTGACAGGCTAGCTGCACTTTGAAGGCCACGAGGAGGTCATGGGTATTGGGGCCCAGTGATGTGGATTTCTTGATCGAGATGACTGGCAGATGGCACCACCGCCTGTGCTCCCCCCAGACTGTGCCAACTCTCTGCGTTTTATCTGCCCGCTGCTGCTGCTTGTTGTTGTGAGCGTCGCTCCTCTGCCCCTCCGTTGCTGGAGGGCGCTTTGCCTCTGACTGTCCAGTAGTAGTGTTCTTCACGAGCTTCCTCCTCCACAGAGGCCGATCTTGACACCGCAACTCCCTCGTGTGCCACAGTGCCGGCCTTCATAGGTGCCACTCGCTAACAGCACTTGCCTCGAACAGTCAGTTAAGGGTACACGGGGGATCACTGTCTTTGGGACCAGATTTATGTAATGTAACAATTTACATCGGATTACACACACAAGGTGCGTTTTAATTGCCTGATTGTATTTTAGTGTGAAGAATCAGATGTTTTTTCTTTCATGAATTTATTTGATGACAGCGGAATAAACTCAACGCGGATGTATGATATCTAATTAAAAAAGATACGAAATTTCTACTGTAAATACCTGTCAAATTTTGTAATTCACTTTAAATCATAGGGTGACGATTTTTTCACGTAAAATGCACCACGGCAAGATACGGAAGTCGTACGATGCTTGAAATAAAAAAAATAATGAAATTCATTTTCAAATGTTCACTTTTTTAAAATCGATTTATGTGATTAACAGTTGTTTGTGTGCGGGGGGAGCGGTGCCACTTGCTAACGGCACTTATCCCAACAGCCTATTACAGGTTATACGGGGGGATCTTTGTCTTTATAATATCTAGATTGGAAGTTTTCGTGACTGCAGGGATCCATACTCTTTGGTTATTTCGGTAAAGTCACGTAGGTATAACTTAAATTAAATCACGACGTTTCGGGCGCGACACACGTGACGGGCACTTGTGTTGCGCCCGAAACGTCGTGATTTATTTTATACCTACGTGACTTTACTGAAAGAACCAAAGCGTATGTTTATAATAATAATTTATATTTGCGTTTCATCCAAGGATCCCAATGTGCCACCGTGTATGGAAAGGAAGAAATTAGTCAGAGCCAGCCAGCGTAAAGAGGTGAATTTTCAGGGCTTGCTTGAAATAGCTCTAAATATTCTCGTTGTCTTATTGCCAGAGGCCAACGCGTTCCATAGTCTTGGAGCTACACTGGCAAAAGCGCGATCGCCCCCAGGGAACAGAGCCTTGACCTCGGAATACTAAGAAGAGGGAGATCGGAAGACCTCAAGGCAGGGCTGTATTTATATCCAATAGGCCACAGTCGGCACGGTGCTTAAGACCTACTAAAAAAATGGACCCATGTTTTTTTGGTTGTATGATAAAATAAAATGTAACCAAGATATCTTCTTGAATCAATATATTTACATGGCTGCTCGTTGCAATTTCTTTGCAGTGGTAACAAGTCATTGACTCAGTGTAAGCGAGGCATATTGCACCTAAAATAACAGTCGAACAAATCTCTAAGCTTAAATGAAAGTAAAACAACATGGCGCTCACCACGTGGTCGTCCTGTGAAAACACTGAATTTGTTATCGATGAAAATGAACGGCATCCTTTTAAAGCTGCGTCATCCCATATGATAATCATTGTAAAAAAAAGTTTAAGAAATTTCCGCTTAGATTTTTAAGCTTGCCTTATTTTTATTCAATAATTTCAAATTAAATCTGCTTGTCTGCGGCACACAGCGCCATCCCATCGAATGAGGGCACAGACTAAAAAAACAATGAACGTATCAGCAGTAACGACGTCTACGCGTGAGACAATCGAGTGACAGCGGCGGTTGTAACATGGGCAGTACCAGTACAATGAATGTTATTACTGAAGGCCTACGAAACAGAAGTGCCTAGAACCTACAAGGACCTTAATCCAGCCCTATCTTAAGGACCTCATTGGTGGTGGTATATAAGTGTGATCAGTTCCTGTTAAGTAACCCATTGTGACAACCTTGTAAGCCAATAGCAGGAACCTTATTATCAATTCGATATTTGATTGGGAGCCAATGCACGGGACAATAGAGTGGGTGTGATGTGCTCAATAAATGGCATAGCCGTCAACCCATACGCTTTACCTTCTTCTTGTACAGGGAAATATCTTTTTAGGTCCAATCAGCGTGTAGTCGATTCAAAACGGGCAAAATTTATTTTGTCTATTTGTGTTTCTCCCTTGTGATGGGACTTTGTAGGATGAACGTTGAGTGGACAGGTATGTAGTAGTGTAGTGTATAGTGTAGTTAATACTAGTGTATAGTGTAGTGTATCGGATACACGTTGAGATCTATAGGGGCACGGGGTGACCAATAAGGTCTGATTTGGTCTGTAATAAGGTAGGGCACTGATAAGGGGTGAGTGTGTGGGTGTGTGAGTGTGTGGGTGTGTGAGTGTGTGGGTGAGTGAGTGGGTGGGTGGTGTGGGTGAGTGGTAGTGTCTCGGCCTCGCTGTGCGCAACGTTGCACCGCTAGCTGAGTAGTTAACCTCGCGTTCAATAAACCCTTGGAGACAGGATGAACGTCCGACTCCAAACGTCATTTATTGAGTTTAACGAGGTAAAACTGGTGAGAAAACACAGATACAGCATCTGTTATAACCCAGAAACACCAACACAATGAACACCACAGTACCAGAACATTGTCCCAGATAACATGTTTCCCAGCAATAGACACTGGATGGACCAGGCCCCCACACTACCACTGAACAACTACACAAGAGCACAAGCCGCTGCGTTGCATAAAGGCACATCGTGCATTGCACATAACACTAAACTGTGGATGAGATACTTCGTCATCTTTGCTCTCAGGATCGCACATAGCCACCTGGGCACAAGTCTGACTCGACCTACTAAATCACAAGTAACATCCACAATAAGGAAAGTTGCAGGCTTCATTGCTAACTAGGCCTCGTATTTACCACAACAACTTAACAGCACCATAAAGGCATTTACATCACTATAACGGTCATTCCAACATTACAACAGCATTGCCAATATTATAAGAACATAAACAAACTTACAGACAATGCTTCTCAAAGTCCCACGACGGCCAACTACGGCTGGCTTCACTGGGACACGATGTGTGCCGCCATCTTGAATTATGTGCGTAATGGCCGACGCCCACGTGGTTAAGCGGGAATCTTAATTCGCAACTTCCTGGTCACGTGACCAAAACCAGCATCAAAAACAGGAAATTCCTGTGTACATACACAAAACTCCTGCCGTGAGGCATAACAGGTGGAGTGGGTGTGTGAGTGTGTGGGTGAGTGAGTGGGTGGGTGTGGGTGAGTGGTTGAGTGAGTGTGTGGATGTGTGTGTGTATGGGTGAGTGAGTGGGTGAGTGGTTGAGTGAGTGTGTGAGTGGGTGGGTGGGTGTGTCATACTTGTCAACCTATACGGTTTACCCCGTATTCTTGTACAGGGTAATTCAGTTTTCAGGTCCTTACAGCGTATAGCCGTTTGTGATGGGATTTTGTAGGATGGACGTTGATATTTATACGGGCACGGGGTGTGTAATAAGGTCTGAATTGGTGTGTAATAAGGTAGGGCACTGATAAGGGGTTGACAGGTATGAGATGGTGTTTGCGTAAAGCGTTCGAGCAGCGGCATTTTGAACGAGCTGAAGTCTACCAAGCACTTTATTTGGTGGGCAGCAGTGGGGCAGGGCCCTGATTAAGGCTCGTGTCGGCCCTAGGGACATCTGTTTCGTAGGCCTTCAGTGATAACTTTCTACAGTTAGCACTGTCTCCGATCAACCGTAGGACAACGCCGATTGTCTTCCCTTGCACTGCTGACATTGTGAGAAAAAAAAAACACAATTTGAAGATGTTGTTTGCTAATTTTTGCAATGAAAAATCTCGCGAATTTCATCTCCGGTGTTAATTTCTCTCACCTTGTGAAAAGAAAAAGATCGACATGACACTGTAACGTATCACAACTGTGCCTATCCTTGCTATATAAAAATATTTATTCAAGAAGATATCTTGGTTAAATTGTTTTAATCATACATACAAACAAACAAAACATGGGTCAATTTGTTTTCGTAGGCCCTTTCAGTTTTCTTTGGCCCCTAGGCACAGTGCCTCCTGTGACCTACTGGATAATATGGCCCTGGTGGGTGGGTGAGTCAGTGGGTGGTTTGGTGAGTGGGTGGCTTAGTGAGTGGGTGGGTGAGTGGGTGGCTGGGTGAGTGGGTGGCTGGGTGAGTGAGTGGGTGGCTGGGCGAGTGGGTGAGTGGCTAGGTGGGTGAGTGGGTGGCTGGGTGAGTGAGTGGGTGGCTGGGCGAATGGATGAGTGGCTAGGTGAGTTAGTGAGTGGCTGGGTGAGTGGGTGGCTGGGTGGGCGAGTGAGTGGCTGGATGAGTGAGTGGGGTGGCTGGGTGAGTGGCTTGGTGAGTGAGTGGGTGGCTGGCTGGGTGAGTGAGTGGTGAGTGAGTGGGTGGCTGGGCGAGTGGGTGAGTGGCTGGGTGAGTGAGTGGGTGGCTGGGTGAGTGAGTGGTGAGTGAGTGGGTGGCTGGGTGAGTGAGTGGCTGGATGAGTGAGTGAGTGGTTGGGTGGCTGAGTGAGTGGGTGGCTGGGTGAGTGGCTTGGTGAGTGAGTGGGTGGGTGGCTGGGTGAGTGAGTGGTGAGTGAGTGGGTGGCTGGGTGAGTGAGTGGTGAGTGAGTGGGTGGCTGGGCGAGTGGGTGAGTGGCTGGATGAGTGAGTGGGTGGGTGGCTGTATACACCGTGTACAATGTGTACATTGCATTTGTAAAACGTGAATTAAAAACACAAATTATATTTTTCTCTCCGCCTGATGAAGACTGTTTGTGTTGCGATCGAAACGTCGTGGGTTTATTGTTTTTATTATTTTCAATTGATTTATTTTATTTTATTTGTACTATTTTATTTTGTATTGTGCTTTTTGCGTTTATTATTTCAGCTTATTATTTATATATTTTATTTTATTCTTATTTTTCTACGTGACTTACCAAAAGAAGCAAGAATACAAAAACAAATTATACTGTACATAAAATCGTAAACTATTTTTAAAACGCGTTTTTTTTATTTTCGACCGCCGCGGCCGCCGTAGTGACCTTGGTACAGTGCGCGCACTGTCCTCACATGTGTCGAGTCTTGGGCTGTCACTTGGTAACATTTTAAACTTTAAAAGTCTTTATTTTGTGTAGGGTTTAGTTTTTATTTCGCTTAAATTCCACATCGCTCCGCCTCGCCATGGCCTCGGCGATTCCTCGCATCGTCACCAAACGTGAGTTTTATATCATATATTTTTTATTGAATAATTAAATTTCGATTTAAAGCTTTCGTGACTGCAGCGATTCATCTTCTTGGTTCTTTCGGTAAAGTCACGTAGAAGGGAAATAATAAAATAATAAAAATAAAACAATAAAATAATTCTCACGACGTTTCGTTCATTCAGACTCTGTCGCCTCGACAGACCTGGTTTTCACCTGAGGACGGCTGCTTGCGTTGTGGCCGAAACGTCGTGAGAATTGTTTTATTATGTTTTATTTTATTATTTTATTATTTCCCTTCTACGTGACTGTGATGAGTCTATGGTTCAGTGATGAGTCTATGGTTCAGTGTTGAGTCTATGGTGCAGTGCTGAGTCTATGGTGCAGTGATGAGTCTTTGGTGCAGTGCTGAGTCTATGGTGCAGTGTTGAGTCTATGGTGCAGTGTTGAGTCTATGGTGCAGTGTTGAGTCTATGGTGCAGTGCTGAGTCTATGGTGCAGTGTTGAGTCTATGGTGCAGTGCTGAGTCTATGGTGCAGTGTTGAGTCTATGGTGCAGTGCTGAGTCTATGGTGCAGTGTTGAGTCTATGGTGCAGTGCTGAGTCTATGGTGCAGTGTTGAGTCTATGGTGCAGTGATGAGTCTTTGGTGCAGTGCTGAGTCTATGGTGCAGTGTTGAGTCTATGGTGCAGTGTTGAGTCTATGGTGCAGTGTTGAGTCTATGGTGCAGTGATGAGTCTATGGTGCAGTGTTGAGTCTATGGTTCAGTGTTGAGTCTATGGTGCAGTGATGAGTCTATGGTTCAGTATTGAGTCTATGGTGCAGTGTTGAGTCTATGGTGCAGTGATGAGTCTATGGTGCAGTGACGAGTCTATGGTGCAGTGATGAGTCTATGGTGCAGTGATGAGTCTATGGTGCAGTGATTAGTCTATGGTGCAGTGATGAGTCTATGGTGCAGTGTTGAGTCTATGGTGCAGTGTTGAGTCTATGGTGCAGTGTTGAGTCTATGGGCAGTGATGAGTCTTATGGTTCAGTGGTTGAGTCTATGGTGCAGTGATGAGTCTTTGGTGCAGTGCTGAGTCTATGGTGCAGTTTTGAGTCTATGGTGCAGTGATGAGTCTATGGTGCAGTGATGAGTCTATGGTGCAGTGTTGAGTCTATGATGCAGTGTTAAGTCTATGGTGCAGTGTTGAGTCTATGGTGCAGTGTTGAGTCTATGGTGCAGTGTTGAGTCTATGGTGCAGTGTTGAGTCTATGGTGCAGTGCTGAGTCTATGGTGCAGTGTTGAGTTTTTGGTGCAGTGCTGAGTCTATGGTGCAGTGTTGAGTCTATGTGCAGTGCTGAGTCTATGGTGCAGTGTTGAGGTCTATGGTGCAGTGCTGAGTCTATGGTGCAGTGTTGAGTCTATGGTGCAGTGATGAGTCTTTGGTGCAGTGCGAGTCTATGGTGCAGTGTGAGTCTATGGTGCAGTGTTGAGTCTATGGTGCAGTGATGAGTCTATGGTGCAGTGATGAGTCCTATGGTGCAGTGTTGAGTCTATGGTTCAGTGTTGAGTCTATGGTGCAGTGATGAGTCTATGGTTAGTATTGAGTCTATGGTGCAGTGTTGAGTCTATGGTGCAGTGATTGAGTCTATGGTGCAGTGACGAGTCTATGGTGCAGTGATGAGTCTATGGTGCAGTGATGAGTCTATGGTGCAGTGATTAGTCTATGGTGCAGTGTTGAGTCTATGGTGCAGGGATGAGTCTTGGTGCAGTGTTGGAGTCTATGGTGCAGTGTTGAGTCTATGGTGCAGTGTTGAGTCTATGGTGCAGTGATGAGTCTATGGTGCAAGTGTTGAGTCTATGGTTCATGTTGAGTCCTATGGTGCAGTGATGAGTCTATGGTTCAGTATTGAGTCTATGGTGCAGTGTTGAGTCTATGGTGCAGTGATGAGTCTATGGTGCAGTGACGAGTCTATGGTGCAGTGATGAGTCTATGGTGCAGTGATGAGTCTATGGTGCAGTGTAGTCTATGTGCAGGTGATGAGTCTATGGTGCAGTGCAGTGTGAGTCTATGGTCAGTGTTGAGTTATGGTGCAGTGATGAGTCTATGGTTCAGTATTGAGTCTATGGTGCAGTGTTGAGTCTATGGTGCAGTGATGAGTCTATGGTGCAGTGACGAGTCTATGGTGCAGTGATGAGTCTATGGTGCAGTGATGAGTCTATGGTGCAGTGATTAGTCTATGGTGCAGTGATGAGTCTATGGTGCAGTGTTGAGTCTATGGTGCAGTGTTGAGTCTATGTGCAGTGTTGAGTCTATGGGGCAGTGATGAGTCTATGGTTCAGTATTGAGTCTATGGTGCAGTGATGAGTCTATGGTGCAGTGTTGAGTCTATGGTGCAGTGATGAGTCTATGGTTCAGTATTGAGTCTATGGTGCAGTGTTTGAGTCTATGGTTCAGTGTTGAGTCTATGGTTCCGTGTTGAGTCTACGGTGCACGGTTGAGTCTACGGTGCAGTGCTGAGTCTATGGGGAACTTTGTGTGTGTGCAGTGCTGAGTCGATGTGCAGTGCTCAGTCTATGGGGAGCGTTGTGTGTATGTATGTTGAACTTTTCTCGCACCGGACGTAGCCAACCGTGCTAATCGGATGTTGTCCCTTGTCGCCGTCCCAGGGCTGCTCTCCACGGCCGTGTCTGCGGCGCCGTGCGTGGCCGCGGCCTCCGTGGCCACCGCGGCCCGCCGCGTGGCGCTCTTCGAGGCCGAGCGGCGGCGGCAGCTGGAGCTGCTGATGCGCATCGAGAAGGTGGAGCTGAAGCACATGGGGCCCGGGCAGCGCGGGGCCACCCTCGTCATGAATCGCGGCCTCTCCACGCCCTACAACTGCGCCCAGCGTGAGGATCGATTGGAGCCGCACGTGGCTTGCACGCTCGACGCTATTAAGTTCCTCCTACGCGTGTGTGCATGTGATACTTTTCTCGCGCGGGACGTAGCCAACCGCGCTAATAGGAGGCGCGAGAGGTTGCCTTTGCGTCGATTGCTTCGGCCCTGGCGGCATCTCGACCTCGGCCGACACGACCTTACACCAGAGGTCGCAATTGGGTACCCGATACCCGTACCCTACCCGATACCCGGCTACCCGTACCCGGCCGGGTATGGGTACCCGTTTGCGACCCTGGTGCGACCGGGTACGGGTAGGCCGTGAGTCACTGATGAGTAACCGTTTGTCTCTCATTTCCCAACGTCTTTTTTCTTCTCACAATTCAAGTTCCTAGAATCAACCCACCCGCGCCTGCAACATGGCTTCATCCCAGAGGTCGCAATCGGGTACCCGTACCCTACCCTACCCGATACCCGGTCGGGTATCGGGTAGGGTACGGGTACGGCCGGGTACGGGTACGGGTAAGGAATCAAAACCCGTTTGCGACCTCTGCCTTACACTCTGCCGCACGCCTTCCCCCCGGCTACCTTCCCCCCCCCCCGCCCGCCTTCCCCCGGCACCCTCCAGATCTGAGCGAGTGGTTCCAGACGCGCTCCGTGCTCGCGAGCATCGACGGCGAGCTCTACGACATGTACCGCCCGCTGGAGCGTGGCGGGCCCATCACCTTCCTCACCTTCAAAGACGTGGACGCCACTCCCGTCAACGAGGTCTGTCCCATGCTGCCGCGCTCCCCTGCCAAGAACTCCTCCCCCTCCTGCTCGCTCCCCTTTCGTTCGAAAGTATCGGGGTGGTGGAACCTACTCCGGCCCCCCCGCCTATTCCGGTGGCGATCGGAGGTCCGACCGCCACCGCTACCAAACCTCCGATTTCCCGCAACTCCAATTAGCACGGTTGGCTACGTACGGTTGGTGCAAAAGAAGTTCAAACGGCCCACAGACGATGAGATCCGTCCGCCACTGTGCGAGCGTTCTTCGCCGCGCTAGTCGGGCAACGGAGGGGCGAATGCTTCCTGCCTGGCGGCAACGGCGCAGTTTTGTGATTTTTAACGCCGCACCCAGTCAGCTCTTGTCTCTTCAAGTGGTGCTGGCCACAAAGGCAACGCGTGCGGGGCTCGCGTGATGGAACTTTGCACGCCAGTTGGTATTTTCGTTCCAAATGTCACCATCATCGCCGTCACCATCATCATCGTGACAACCAATATCATCATTACCATCATCATCATCATCGGCACGTTAATCAACACTGTTATCATAACCATCAGAATCATTACTGTAATCAACATCATAAATCATCGGCATTACCATCATGTATGTATGTTGAACTTCTTTCGCACAGTACCTAGCCAACTGCTACTCGAAGATGCAAATAAACGAATAGGTCATCCACCACCGAGTCTGTGAGTTCGATACCCAAATCTCGAGTTGTTCACTAACAAACTAAATTTTATTAACATAAACACAACCTATACCCATGTTAGTGATTTCTGGCATAGAGGTGCATGGAAAATTGTTATATTTTTGGATTATCCGCGATTTTGAATTATCCGTTGCCTTTCTGTTGTCTGTGTGGCCACGTGTTTGACTGTGTCGCGTGCGCGCTCCCTCGCCCGGCCCGTTGCGTGCCTGCGCAGGCCTACTGGCGCTCCTGTGCCCTCATGCTGGGCTCGGCCCTCAGCAAATCCTTCAAGGAGGAGTTCCCCATTGAGCTGATCGGCTCTCCCGAGGTTCCAGGTGAGGTTCCACTCCAGATCCAAGCGCCGTGAGCGCTGTTCCTTTCAGTAACTTTTGAGTCATTCGAAGTACTGCCATGGCAGCAGTAATTCTGATAGCCACGCTCAGTCCTCTGCTGGATGCTTTCTTGTCCTATACCTTGCACTGCGATCGTTGTTTGTATTTAACACGTAGGCTTTCGCGACCAATATTATTCATAATCAACGTTTTTGGGTTTAGATCGCGTTATTTATAAATGTGTCGTAACCCTCCACCACCCGACACGGCCAATCAGTAAAAAAGTGTCACGTTGACAAAAGACAAATAGTTCACTGCTTTAGCCCACTGGTGTGTTGAAGCGTGAAACCAAAACATTTACAATTTGAGTACGACGTTTCGCTGGTAATTGCATCCAGCATCATATGAGTTGTTTGTATTGTTTGGTGTTGTAACTTTTTGACTCGCCCCTACTGGATTCCTTTCGTCTAAATAAAGATTCTGATACTTGACATCTGTGAAAAAGAGCTTTATAGCTGATCGGATTTCTACGGGATAAATAAAAAAAAATGATGATTAGCGAGTATCCGGCGTTCTTGAAAATCCGGCACCCCCGAAGCCGATGATCTTTTGTAGTAACAATAATAACAATGTTGTAGGCGTAGGGGAGATGTTAAGTTTTAACGTCGATTAAATTCACCTTCAACGTTCGAATTGAAAGACAATTTTCACCGACGCGTTTTTGACCCTTCTGCGCCCGCCGATTGCTTGCGGCTGCATCCTGACACCGCCGCCGCCACTGCCCTGGTGCCCTGCTACCACCGTGGTGCCCTGCTGCTGCGCTGCCCTGCTGCTGCCCTGCCCTGCTGATGTCGTGGTGCCCTACTGCCCTTGTCCTGTCTCCCAGTCATATCCGGAGCCTTCTGCTACGACGTTCTGCTCGACGCCAGACTCGACGCCTGGGTCCCGACGGAGGTGAGATGCCTCAAATATATTTTTACTTTTTTTACTTTGCCAGGTAAGGCCCGCTGAGCTGTATAGCTCTTTTTCAAAAGAGATACATGTGGAGCGAAACTCCTATTAATTAACGGTCACTAATTGGCGGTTAACACCTTCATATGTAAAGGACCGCAGATGACGATTTTGATGATGACGATTATGATGTTGATGATGATGATGATAACGACAATGATGATGACTAGAATTGTGATGATGATGATGATAAAGACGAGGATTATGATGAAAGCGACGACGACGATGATAATTTTTGCGGTTCCAGGATAATCTTCGCTCCATCACACGCGAGGTCCACCTGCTCCTCAAGGAGAACCTGCCCTTCGAGCGCCTCTCCGTTGACGCCAGCGTCGCCCTCGACATGTTCAGCGAGAGCGGGTGAGTTGTCATGGTTACCCGCTCAGACACACTCCCCGTTAACACCAGCGTCACCATCGACACAGTGGGTGAGTTGTCACAGTTACCCGCTCACACACACTCCCAGTTAACACCAGCGTCACCATCGACACAGCGGGTGAGTTGTCACGGTTACCCGCTCACACACACTCCCAGTTAACACCAGTGTCACCATCGACACAGTGGGTGAGGTGTCATGGTTACCCGCTCACACACACTCCCAGTTAACACCAGCGTTACCATCGACATGTTCAGCGAGAGCGGGTGCGGCATCATAAAGACAATGAACCCCCCCCACCCCATCCCGTATAGCCCTTAACAGACTTTAACACCATTGGAACCTCATTTACCAGTAGCAAAATATGATAATTGTTTTTTTTACCCTTTTATCTGGCAACAAAACTGACACCTTTTTTTTGGCCTTTTGGTGTCATCTGGTCCAACACCATGTGAGACTAGACTCTAAAGAAAGCTGTCTTGGGTGTGGACCAATCAATTTCAAGGACAGTGCATACATTATCAGAGTTATGTTTTTTGTTTGCATTCCGACTGCAGGTATTGTGGTCTATGCAAACATGACTCCTTGTAAAAAAAAGGTGTCAGTTTTGTTGCAGATAAAAGCGTAAAAAACAATTATCTTAACAGACTTGTTGGGGCAAGTGCCATTAGAGAGTAGCAGCACCGACGTAGGCCGGGCACTGTGGCATGTGACTGAACCGGGGTGCCACCCTCACGTGATGTAGCCCGCTTCTGACGGAGCATGAACGGTCTGCGTGTTTCGTCTCTAGGCCTAAGGTGGCTGCGATCGAAGAGAAAGCCTCGAAGAACGCGGAGCGGAAAGTCACCCTCTACAAGTACGTCCAACGGCGCACGATAATCGTGCGCCTCCCATGAGCACGGTTGGCTACGTGCGGTGCGAAAGAAGTTCAACATACGCACAACCTTACATGCGTTATGGTAACGGTGAGGATCCAGAGGTCACCGGTTCTGTTTTATTTCCTGGCTTTCCATGCACGACGCATCAGGATCTCCGGATGAAATGTGCCTTACAACTGTAAATTATGAATATTGATATGTGAGCAAATGTGACCAAATGTGCAGGTGCAGAGTGGTGGTTGTGTGCTCCATCCGTACGCACCGTTGAGTCTTCTTTGAAACTTAGCGATGTGTACGTTAAAAAATCTGTCCCGTGCCCATCACACACAATACCCACCCACACACTGACCCACACACAACCCCACCCCACGCCACCCACACCACGCACCTGACCCTACCCACCCACACTACCCTACCCCACCCCACCCACCCTACCCCACTCACACACCCACCCGCCCGACCCCACCCACCCACCCTACCCACCCGCCCGCCCGACCCCACCCTACCCACCCACCCACCTGATCCCACCCTACCCTCCCCTACCCAACCGACTCCACCCTACCCTACCCACCAACCTGACCCCACCATACCTACCCACCTGAGCCCACCCACCTGACCCCACCCTACCCACCCTACCCCACCCTACCTACCCACCCACCTGACCTACCCTCCTTACATCATTCCCAGGCTCGGAGACTTTGTGGAAGTCAGCGACGGACCGCACATCCCGCGCACCGGCTTCTGCTTCCACTACGACGTCACTGCCGCCCACGCGCTCAGCCCCCCGGCGGCCGGGGCAGCACCGCAGCCTGACGCGGTGGCGCCGGCGGGGAGCTTGCGGAGGTTCCAGGGAGTCTCCCTGCCCTGGCCACTCAAGGTGGGTGCCAGTTGGCTGGATCACGCTGGCTCATGCCAATAAGGATGCCACGGTGGCTAGGAGATGTTAACTACCTCGCCTGGTATACAGGAGGTCGTGGGCTTGATCCCGATCCTGACGCCTGCTGCTGTATATTTGGAGTTTGTGTGCGTGTCTCTCTCTCATCATCATCACGGTGGCTAGGAGATATTAACTACCTCGCCTGGTATACAGGAGGTCATGGGCTTGATCCCGATCCTGACGCCTGCTGCTGTATATTTGGAGTTTGTGTGCGTGTCTCTCTCTCTCCATAGTCGTGTGGATTTTTCTTGGGGTCCTCTGGTTTTTTCCTCCACATTTATACAATCAACATCACGTGTTAATTTGTGTTCCCAGACCCATCACGTTCTCTGGAGCCGTCTCGTATCAAGGTCTCGTAAACTGGTACGTCAAAAAATAACTATTCCACCAACGTCGTCGTCAGACATGGTCTATCCACTGCTGGATGAAGCCCCCGCCCCCCCCCCCCCCCCCGCCCCCCCACGTCGTTGCCATCTTTCATGACCTTGCGATGCAACTATCTCCTCTGGCTCCCTCTCCCGCATTCAACTTCGGATGCCACTACGCCCCCACCGAAGTTGGCCTTGACCGGGAATTGAATGGGGTTCGTAGCGCAGTGCGCTAACCGTTACATACCAATCTAGATTTGAAGTTTTTGTGACTGCAGGGATCCCATAGTCTTTGGTTCTTTCAGTGAAGTCACGTAGGTATAAAATAAAATAAATTAAATTAAATCAGGACGTTTCGATCACAACACAAGCAATCATCATCAGGTGGGAAAACCACAGCAAGAAATGTTTTGCTGAAGTGGGAGAGAGATACCATGGTAAGAGGTTATATAGGTAAGAGAGGGGGGAGGGGCAAGGGAGGGGGGTAGGGGCAGGGGAGAGTTGCGTGGACGCTAGGAGAGGGAGACGTGAAGCTAGGACGGGGGGAAATGAACGGGGCCTGTGTCCTTTTCAAAAAGAAAGCCTGAATCGCAAGACTCTTTTTTTTTGCTGCTACGTTGGGATGTTTTGGCAATTGATCCCGTGAACTCCGGTCATCCTCGCAGCAGCAACGGCTTTTGGCTCGCCCATCAAACAGAGAGGGTGGTCACTGCATCGCGTGCCGTTTTCAGATGCGCTTCTGCGCGCCGTCTGGGACCACTCTTCCGAGTTTCGGAAGCCACTGGGAGCTACGCTGCACTTTTAAATCGTCTAGATTGAAATCCTGCACGTAGCCAACTGGTGCGGTGGGGAGGGACCACAAACCAAACGCAAAAAGCAGTTTCAAAGAAGCGGGTTTTCAATCTAGATTATCGCGCGAATGCCAACGCTTTAAAAAAATATCGCGCCCAAATTTTTTGTTAAAAAAATAATTTCTGTCGAAGGTGACGGAGGACAGGAAGGAAGCTGAAGAAGTCGCCGTCGCTTCCTCACCAGCGGAGCCCTCGTCTGCGGAGCCCTCGACTGCTGCCACGACCACCACGACCACCACGACGACTGCTGCTGCATGAGAACCCGCAGCTCCGAGTCGACGGTTCACATCTCCCTTAAAAACGAGTTCGCGACCCAATAAAAAAAACACTTCAATCCGCCCACGGAGCAGCTCATCGTGAGATTGCGCACGTGTGGGTGACGAGGTCGGGGTGGGTGGTGGGGGAGGCGAGGGAGGAGACGGGCGCTTGGGATATCACCTCTCCCACCCCCCTTTAGGGGATAGACGGGAGTTGGCGTCCACGCGGGACTGTTCCCGACGACGATCTCTACCGCTCTACCGCCCCACCCTTGTGCCTCCTCCCCTGTTGTTCCCTCCTCCTCCGTATATATAAAACAAACACCGAAACTCCTGCTCGTAATGCCCACCGCGTGTGTGTTTGTGTGTGGGGCAGTGAGCCCAATTTCTGTCCCCCCACCCACCATCCATCGTTGGACCCAGGAGTGCCGAGTCGGGGATTTAGTCCACGGAGTTTCCGTACCCCCCCCCCACTTCCGCCTTGTCGAGGTTTATGCCTGGCGCCAGGTTCTTGTTGCGTTGCAACTAAGTAAACAAAACACTTAACTCGGTGTAGCACGTAGTAGGAGGAGTTTACGAGAAATATCCAACATAGAGTTTTTGTGTTAGATCGCGCAAATATAAATGTGTCGTTCAACCTGCCGCCACCCAACGCAGCCAATTAATAAGGTTTGTCACGTATACATAACGAATTGGCATGTTTTGTGTTCGTGACACATCTTACTAATTGGCTGTGTTGGGTGGTGGCTGGTCTAACGACACATTTATGTTTACGCGATCTAATCCAAAAACCTCGTTTGGAAACCACGTAACTATTTTTGTTTTATCAGGTAAGGCCCACTGAGCTCTGTAGCTTTTTTTCAGAAGCGACCTGGCCACATATGATAGCGCCAACGAAGTGGCTTATCACGTGGACATTTATAGCAGCTAATTACCCTAAAACGTGTGACGTTGATTCTAAATGTGGAGTGGAAAACCCGAGGACCCAGAGAAAAATCCTCGCGACCACTCCAAATATACAGCAGGCGTCAGAGTCGGGATCGAATACACGACCTCCTGTACACCAGGCGAGGTGGCTAACATCTTGCCACCGTGGGATCGAGCCCGCGACCTCCTGTACACCGGGCGAGGGAGTTAACATCTAGCCACCGTGGCGCCATTAAATCTGCGTCGTCACTCCTCGCGCTACGTCAACTTCGAACGAATTTTTACCCACGCAAATCCTTTAGGCCTGTACAACGACAACAACAGACGGGTATTATTGCGCCTTGACTTCTCACTAAGTGGCTCTAAGTTTATGACCCCTGAAAGGATGATCGGGACGACGATGGCCAAGTGGACCTATGTTTTCATATCCCATCATGACGCCGGTAGCAATTCGTTCGTCAACGGATGCCATTATCTCCCAGAGTAGAGAATGCACGGTAACATATTGGCATCACTGTGTTGTTTATGATGCATGTACATTGAACTTGTTTCGCAACCGTACGCAGCCAACCGTCATAATCGGAGGTGCGCTAAAATCTGGTGGGATGAGCGCCTCCCCTCTCCGCACACCGTTGCGGGTCGTGGCCATTGTTTGACCATACTTCACGCTGGTCAAGGCCCATACAAGCACCACTCTCCAGGCTCGCCTCCTGCTTAGCTGCTTAGTTCTGACTTTCATGGGGAAAGTTCCCCAGGTTATTTCGCCATAGGCCATGATTGATGCGTGCGAATAGATAATAACACTGGTCAACACACTTTTTCTGGCATAAGGTATTCCAACGGTTGTAAGGTAATTTTGGGGTGCTGATTCCAAATCTGGCATCAGTTTGTGTCTATCACATCAGGTTTTTGAGATATCAAATATTGCATTTTCAATCAAAACTGCAGAAGAAAAATATTAAATGTGTATATCTACATAAAATGATATTATAAACACACTATCCTAAAAACACAGCACCATATTTTAACACTAAAGCAGTCACTGACTCGCAACAACTTGCAATCATAAGTGACGGAGTTAATTTCGGGTAAAATCAATGAAAATGGGGTATGCCGATAGCATCAAATTTAGATGTGATAGAGCAAATCTGAGATCAGATTTGGAATCGGCACCCTGAAAATCGTTTTTTTTTTGTTGACCAGTGTAATTATCATGATATTCTACATCTGGGAAGCCTGGCCCCGCCGGCAGGACATCTGAAAAAGAGCTGCATTATAGTTCATCGGATGTCTGCAGTAGAAATAAATATTCATATTTTCGGGTGGGTGCCCCTGCATTGAGATGTTTGACCAATTCAGATTTTTTTACGTTTGGGTAAAACATACTGTAACTTGAACCAAATGTGTTTGTGTGTATGCAACACACCTATATTACATTCACACACACACACACGTGTATGTGTATGCCACGCATTTGAAATAAATGCTTTATTTACAAATGAACGCAAATGTGTGATGTTACTATTTTGTTGGGCTGAGATCGGTGGTGAGTAATGATTCGACCGGTTGTGGGCCTCTCCTTTGTACTCGGATACAATTGTGTTCCAAAAGAGTGAATAAGTATTTCTAGATTTGAAGCTTTCGTGACTGCAAGGATTCATATTCTTAGATTTTTTTCGGTAAAGTCACTGTTCCACCTGAAGACGGAAGCTTGTGTTGCTTCCGAAACGTCGTGATTTTTATTTTATTTTTATTAATTTTAATTTTTTTACCTACGTGATTTTACCGAAAAAAACCTAAGAATAAGTGAATAAGTACTTTATTTTGCCAATTTTCACTCTTAAAATTATAATGCATGGGGATAAGCGGAATCGATAAGTCGGTACATCGATTACGAAAGCCACGATTCTTCATTGACAATGAACGCACTCGCGATTTTGTTTCCATTCCAATCTCGATTCCAACTAACGTTACATTGGCATAGGGAATCGATAGCGCGAAGTTTGTCTCGGTTAATTAGTCGATTCCATACACGTCACTCGCACACAGTACAGTATGTTTAACACGTAGTACAGTACGCGCAAGAACGGCGTTAAATTGACCAAAACGCATTTTTTTAACGCGATCGAGTCGCGTTACAGTTTTAAAGTTCATTTCTCAGGTTGTAGGCTCGTTTACAAGTTGCGAAAATGTCGTTTTTTACAGATTCGCTCATCATGTTTTCGTCACAGGTAAAACTGCCGTACAGTGCGGCCTGTGCATAACATTGTCCATAATTTCGATTTAAAGCTTTCGTGACTGCAGCAGGGATTCATCTTCTTGGTTCTTTCGGTAAAGTCACGTAGAAGGGAAATAATAAAGTAATAAACCAATAAAATAATTCTCACGACGTTTCGGCCACAACGCAAGCAGCCGTCTTCAGGTGAAGAATGAGACACTGCCAAACTTGGAGCGTATATATCAGCTTTACCGAAAGAACCAAGAAGATTGTCCATAATGTTGGAGTAATGTTCGCCGTTTATACTTTTCGCAATCTTCTTGTCGTAATAAAAGTCCCGTTTCAAATAAATGCACTTCATGTGATGCATCTTACGTATAAGGCGGTGGCCGTGTCTTCATTGTGGTGTGTTCAGGACGTAGCATGCAATACTAACAACACTGCATTCGGAGTAATATAACGTATTATGATATAACTTATCGTTATAATATAACTATTGATGGTGTATACGTCGTGTGATCTGTATTGTGTTGTCTACGTCGTGTTCTGACAACATTCCCCTAAACCCCTCCACCCACCATCTCATAATAAGCTCATAATAGATAATTTGGCCTTACCAGGTAAGAACAAATAAATGTAATTAAATGTCTATATCTATATACTTTAAGTGGTGTGTTTACTTTCACTATACTTTGCACTCCAATCGTTGTTGTTAATGTTACTTTCTGACCCCGTGTCCCTGCAGGATATCTGTGAAAAAGAGCTTTGTAGCTGATCGGATTTCCCCTGTATAAATAGATATTCTGATTCTCATTTAGAGCACACACGCTAGTTATAATACGTATAATGATTGATGAGAAGGACGTTGTAAATAGATTAAGACTGTCTCCCTCGGGTTTAGTATTTGTCTCTTTTGGTGAACCTCAGCCAGGGGTGGAAATTCCAAGTTTCTATGGCCGGGGGTCAGGACATCTATCGCGTGACCACTGTCATTCATTATGTTGAGGCCACCGTGTTGAGTGGCTATCATTTGTGGCCAGGGTGCTTCTGAAAAATAAGTTAAAGTCCAAGGACTTTGCCTGGTATGTCTGTTGGGTGATTTGCATACCTTGTACTTTGCACTGCAATCGTGTTTTTGTATTGTGTTGTCACGTTCTTACCCCATGCCCCTCACGAACATCTATGAGTAAAGAGCTTCATGGCTCATCAGATTCTTCCTGTAGTATAAAACACATTCCTGCGGAGGGAGCTGGTAGGAACGTCGGGTTGCTCGGTCAATGGCCAGGGTCAACGGCGGCGTGGTGTATTCCGCAAATATGCCCGACTGTGAGGGCGGGCACAAGCCGGTGTGAGTAGGTTAAAGGTTGAGTTTTATAAGGGCACCACGGGGTGACCAGCCCCTCCCCACCCAGCCACACCCCTCCCACCCCCACCCAGCCCCACCCAGCCCCTCCCCACCCTCCCCTCCCCACCCAGCCCCACCCTCCCCTCCTCACCTAGCCCCTCCCTCCCCACCCTCCCCTCTCCACACAGCCCCACCCCTCCCATTTTTGGATGCACGACGGACGGACACAATAATCCCCTGTGGGCTGGTGGAACCAGGAGGTTCCTACCAGTATAAATATTCTGATTCTGATCTGATCATGATGACGATCATAATGAATGACTGCACCTTTGATTGGCACGGTTGGCTACGTATGGTGCGAAAGAAGTTCAACATACATACATGATGGTAATGCCTATAATTTTTATGATGTTGATTACAGTAATGATTCTGATCGTTATGATAATAGTGTTGATGAATGTGCCGATGATGATGATGGTGATGATGATATTGGTTGTTGCGATGATGATGGTGACGGTGATGATGGTGACATTTGGAACGAAAATACCAACTGAAAACATGAGCGCTAAAAAAAAAGCTGATTGCCTTGTTTGGTGTCGCGTGTATTTTGTGTTTCAGATCATATTTTTTGGATTCGGATGGCTGTTTTTCATGAGGCAGCTCTTTAAGGACTACGAGGTTTGATACGCATACAGGCGTGGGCACAAAACTTCACTCACCCAGTTTAACACATCGGCTCTCGTGACCAATATTATTCATAATAAAGGTTTCTGGGTTAGAGCGCGTAAGTCTAAATGTGTCGTAACCATTCACCATACGACACAGCCAGTAAGGTTTGTCACATAAACAACGCGTCAATTAGTTACTACTTCAGCCCACCGGTGTGTCGAACAGTAAATCCACAACATTTACAATTTGAGTACCCGTGACGTTTCGCTGGTAATTACATCCAGCATCATCGGGCGAATTGCCACTATTCTGGTCGATTTGCCACTATTCTAGCATATTGCCCAATGATGCTGGATGTTATTACCAGCGAAACGTCACGCTACTCAAATTGTAAATGTTGTGGATTCCTTCTCTCGCCCCACCCCTGGTTCTTCACCCCAGCGGTCGTCAACCGTCGTTTTTACAATCCACCTTTGTTTCTTTTCCGTTCAAATCTCCCTTCTGATCGCCTTCAGTCTCGCCTCCCGACCAATCACCCTGGAGGTCACTCTGTGCCAATCTGAGGCCTTGGCCTGCTTCCTGGTGGTCTGTTTGCTTCGGATGAGTGATCTGGAATTTCGGTCATTGGAAATCGACAGACACCGGGGTTGCGGTAGACCCGACGTACGGAAATCCGACCTTTTGGAAATGCTCCCATGAATCGTGTTTTAAAAAATGTCAACATGCGGAAATGTTTGCGTTAGGTCGCGGTGAGGTTGCGGATAAAGACCGCGGAGCGAGGAGGTTTAAAGGCAGGGCTGCAGCTCCCTCTGCAGCCCTGCCTTTAGAGCTTATGACTGCTCCATTGGAACCTCATTTGCCAGTAAAAAATATGATAATTGGTTTTTTACCCTTTTATCTGGCAACAAAAGTTGTCTCGGGTGTGGACCAATCAACTTCAAGGACAGTGCATACATCAGAGTTATGTTTTTTGTTTGCATTATGACTGCAGGTATTGTGGTCTATGCAAACCTAACTCCTTGTAAAAAAGGTGTCAGTTTTGTTGCCAGATAAAAGGGTAAAAAAACAATTAACTTATGACTGCTGTTGTTGACCCCGATGATCTAATTCCTGTCATCAAGCAATTAAGTCCTTTCGTCATTCACAACTATTTCCGGCTCTGGGATTTTATTTTGATTTTGGGGGAAAATTGTTCAGTTTCCGGCGTGCGGAAAATTTGGTGTTACGGATCTTTCTCAGGAACCTAATTCATCTGTCACCCGGTGACTGTATTTTCGTATGACTGGCCACGTGACAAAGATAGTGTGTGCCGATGGGACGCCACCACCGCTTGTGTTGCGATCGAAACGTCGTAGTTTTTTGTTATTTTCTTTGAACCTATCTACGTGACTTTACCGATAGACCCAAAGTATATGCACAAGTATACTCCCGCACAGACGCCAACGCACACGGACATTCATGAACACCACACTCCGCATCAGTGGTTCTCAACCGGGGTTACATGAACCCCCGGGGTGTACATGGCAATGTCCCATGGGGTTACATGGGTGATTTATAAATGTGCCTTGGACTGTCACATTCATTGTGCTTAATATGCTTACGTTATTGGCGTTCACTATTCGTACATTTATTTCCCAGAACTATGTTGGGTCAGGCAAGGGGATAGTTGGTTGAAACAACATTCAACAAGGAGTGCAAGTAGCCAACATAGTTGAAGAACCACTGCTCTACATCATCATGAGCCATGATATATACACTGCTAGGTGAAGTCCTCTGCATGCTATCGACATCTCTTACGGTTCTGCGACACCACAGTCCATCTCTTGCGTGTGAACTTACCGTTCCATCTCCACGGTGATTGTTCTCTTGTGTACATTCTCTCCTTTAGCCTATCATGCCATAACACACACAGACATACCCACTCACAGCACACGTGTGTGTGTGTATATGGGTGTGTGCATCGGTGCTTGCTTAGACGACTTGCCCCAGAACCCTGTTAAAGGGTACATAGGGGATCTTTCTCTTTGTGTGTAGGTGCGGAGCGGTGGCGCAGCGGTTAGCACGCTGCGCTACGAACCCGGTGACCCGAATTCGATTTCTGAACCAGTCCTGACCCTCCGCTAGATCGACTCAGCCTGAAATGAGTACCTGGTGCAGTGTGTAAACATCGGCACTGCGGAAACAAAGGCGGCCGGGCGTGGTGCTGGCCACCCACCCCCCTCATGCGACGTGCCAGCTTTCTTAGGTTTCTCATTAACTACACTTGCCCCAACAGTCTAATGAAGGCTACACGGGGGATCTTTGTCCTTTGCAGGTGCGCAGGTACCTGGTGCAGATCGTCTTCTCCGTGACGTTTGCGTTCTCGTGCACGATGTTCGAGCTCATTATTTTCGAGATCTTGGGCGTGCTCAACACAAGGTGGGCGACCCGCGCGCTCACAGACACGTTCTACGTCTCTCGTGTGGCAGTGTGACATCGCGAACGTCGTGCCCGGCTCGTAATAATGATGCACACCTATGCTGTTTTTATTACACGCTTTTTATTAACTCACTCTGTTGTTGTCGTTGTTGTATCCTCAAATCTTGTAACTCAATTTTAACCCACTTCCCAATGTGGTATCAACTGCAAACTTGGTATACTTATGTCATACTGATGACAATACTATATTCTATCATAAAAAAATATATATTTTTTAACGTTCTTTTTTATATGTTATGTTTCGGCTTGGGTCTAATTGTCCACGCTCAACTGACGTTGGCTATAATTGGCCACGGTCCCTTACGTTATGGCAAGCTTCGGGGCCACTTCCTGGAGTCGTGGAGTTCTGCCATTACTCGTACGGTACATTTCATTAAAGCGTGTTTTTAAAAAAGTGTTTTTACATATTACTTATTGAATTGTTTGTTGGTGTAACGTTCTTACCCCGTGCCCCGACTGAACATCTGTGAAAAAGAGCTTTGTAACTCATTGTATTCTTCCGGTATAAGTACATATTCTGGTTCTGCTTCTGATGTGAAAGACTCTGAACCAGCACCGCTGAGACACCCTGAGTTGAGGCCCTGGTTTTGGCTGGCGCTGTCTATATCAGCGGTATTGATAATGGATACACAGCCAGCACCGCTGATAACCTGCATTTGCTGAACTTCATAATGTGCAGCAAAGTATTGTGAATTGATTTTTTCACTGGTGTGGAACTGGCCCCGCCACCCACCTAATGACCAGCCGCTACCGGACAGAGGAAACTCGCATGAACAGCACATTCTGGAACACAATGCTGCTACCTGATGGTGGAGTGGTCGCGTAGCAGTTGGCACCCTGCGCAACAAACCCGACATCCAGAGTTCGATTCCCGCCAATAACGGTGGCCAATATTTGAACCGCACCCGGGCCTCCCCTAGGTTGACTCGGCCTGAAATGAGTACCTGATGCAGTGCTTAAACATCGGAACTGAGGAGGTGGTGCTGGCCACCCATCCCCTCGTGTGCCGTGCCGGCCTTCATAGGTGCTCGCTAACAGCACTTGCCCCAACAGTATAGTAATGTCTATAGAGGGGGTCTTTGTATGTGTGTGTGGGGAGCGGTTGTGTTACCAGTTAGCACGCTTCACTACGAACCGGTGTCACCCGAGTTTGCATCCCGCTCACAGCCACCGACACCAATGACGATTATCTGAACTGGTCTTGGGGCCTCCCCTACATCGACCCAGCCTGAAATGGATACCTGGTGCGATGTGCCAGGAGTAGTACCGGCCACCCACCGACCCCCTCGCTTGATGTGCCGGCCACCAGTCGGTTAAGGGCTACGCTGGAGAGGAGGGAGTTGAACCTAAGTCTTTGTGCGCGTGTGCAGCTCGCGTTACTTCCACTGGAAGCTGGACCTCTACGTCATCCTCATCGTGCTGATCTTCGTCGTTCCCTTCTACATCGGCTTCTTCGTCGTCAGCAACATCCGACTGGGTGAGTGGTTGTTCGCCAGACCGGCTCACTCCCTCTGTAAGAGAAGCTCACGGACTCGGCGCTAAAGTGAATCTACGTGTATGTGTGTGTGTGTATAAATTGTCTCGCACCGTACGTAGCCAACTGTGCTGATCGGAGGTGCCGGGGAAGGAAAACAAACTAAACACAAAGAGCGGTCTATGGGCAGTGTTGAGTCTATGCTGCAGTCTTGAGTCTATAGGCAGTAATGGGTCTATGGTCAGTGTTGAGTCTATGGGTAGTGTTGAGTCTATGCTGCAGTCTTGAGTCTATAGGCAGTGATGGGTCTATAGGCAGTGATGGGTCTATGGGCAGTGTTGAGTCTATGGGCAGTGTTGAGTCTATGGTGCAGTGTTAAGTCGATGGGCATTTTATGTATTTATGTTGAACTTCTTTCACACCATACATAGCCAACCCTGGTAATCAGAGGTGCGGGGAAAGGACAACAAGCTAAAAACTAAAAGCCGGCGCCGATGAGACACTCGGTTTGAATCCGGGTTTCAGCCGCCCCTCTGATTAAGTGGAGTTCCTGAGTGTAAAGGGCCGATGCTTTCAGCCCGATCAGCAATGGCTGCACTCAACAGAATAAATCACACACAGCCTTGTTCTGGCCTTAACTTCGCTCACTTCCAGTTCTAAGAATTTCAAATATTATTTCAGTGTGGCCTGACCGTTTATGACTCGCTCTTAACGCGTAGGTTTTCGGCAGCCGATATCTTGATTCATAATAGATTTTTGGGTTGTGCATGTGCACCGCATTGGGTTTTCTCCGAGCGCTCCAGTATCGTCTCAAATGTGAGCACTCATTAATACAAACAGAGGACCGCAGACCTTTTGCAGTTGTTGATGCCAGGTCATGGAGTGGCTGCCCGCGGTTCTATCCTCATGCCTCCGAGTCGTCTGCTGTTAACGGCGTTGAGCGGATACTGTGCGGCATGTTACAAGTTAAAATTATTTGGAGTTTGCGTGTCTCTCTCCATGTGATCTTGCGGATTTCTCTCCGGGTCCTCTGGTTTTTACGCGCTTTTGTTGTATCCTCAAAAAAGAAATTAATTGAGTTTTCATTTATTTTATTTTATTGATTGTTTTACCTACGTGACTTTACCGAAAGAAAACAGAGTATGAACCAGTAGCATTTACATTTGCAGGAGATTATACAACTTTTAAAGCCATTGCCTTGTGTTTAGTGTACATACGCCCTACAACGTGTTCGGAATCGACAGGTGTAAAGTTGGACTTGCGTACAAATCGACTTTTCAAACAGACCTCTGGGGAACCGAACTCGTTCGCAAGTCGAGAAGTCCCTGTGGTTTTATTATTATTATTACACTGGTCAACAAAAGCACATTTTTTTCTGGCCTAGACTTTTGCAGCTGTTTTAGACTAATTTCAGGGTGCTGATTCCAAATCTGATCTCAGATTTGCTCTATCACATTTCATTTTTATGCTATCGGCATACCCCATTTTCATTGATTTTACCCGAAATTTACTCTGTCACTTATGATTGCAAGTTGTTGCGAGTCAGTGACTGCTTTAGTGTTAAAATATGGTGCTGTATTTTTAGGCTAGTGTGTTTATAATATAATTTTATGTAGATATCCACATTTATTTAATATTTTTCTTCCGCAGTTTTGATTGAAAATGCAATATTTGATATCTCAAAAACCTGATGTGATAGACAAAAACTGATGCCAGATTTGGAATCGGCACCCCAAAATTACCTTAAAACCGTATACCACAAAAAGTGTGTTGACCAGTGTTATCGTCGCCTCACTCTAATTGTTGAAAAAAGCTGCTTTCAATCGCGGGCGTCCGAGACCCGTATGTGAACCACGCGTCTCTGGCGGCGGCGCCGGCTCCTCATTGTCTCATCGTCGTCGTCGTCATCATTGTCGTCGACCAACGCGGCCGTCGTGCGAAGCCTCTGAACCGCTCGGCCACCCCTTGCTCCTCACCCATCCAATGTGAAACCGGTTTCTCCTCGCTAGAATTACCAAGGAGTTCCTCTTCACCAGCCTGCACTGGCCAGCGTGGTGAGGACACACAGACACGTGCTTTGACCGACTCTCCGTGTGTGCGTGCGTGCGGAGAGTCGGTCCCGTTGGCGGCTCGTCACGCCTGATATTGTGTCGTCTGGACACGCGCAGCCGGTAACCGCTGAGAGCCCGGCTTCCCAATCCGGGTTGCAGCCACCCCCCCGACTACAGCGATCACACCGGGATGTGATAGGACTCGCACAGAGACCCATAGCCTCACATAGAGACCCATAGACTTACATAGAGACCCATAGACTTACACACAGATCCGTAGACTCACATTGAGACCCGTAGACTCACATGGTGATCCGTAGACTCACATAGAGACCCATAGACTCACATAGAGACCATTAGACTCACAGAGCTCAATAGACTCACATGGAGACCCGTAGACTCACATAGAGACTCGTAGACTCACATAAGGATCTGTAGACTCACATAGAGACCCGTAGACTTACATAGACCCATAGAGTCGCATACTCGCATCGAAGTGACTTTCAGAGCGAGTTCTGACCACAAGCTCATACGGAGACCCACAGACCGCGTGGAGACCCGCAGACCACACGTTGACGTGGCTTCAGAACTGCTTCTGTTCGGGTCATCGATAGGGACACAGTCAGTAGCGGCGTCTTCTGGCGCCGTGCTCCGACACAAAGTGGTGTCGTGCTCGCCGGGAAAGTTCGACTGGAAGTTTCTCCGCCTCATCACAGCACGCGGCCCGAGTGGCGCAGTTGAACGTGTCGTTGCTAGCGTCGGCGTCGCCGTCGGCGGCGGCGGCCATGATCCACCCACTGTTGGATGAAGGCCTCGCCCAGTTGAGGAGCAAAGCCAACCGCTGTTAGCACGGGGGAGACAAAGGTGGCTGGGCGTGGTGCCTGCCACAGTACCGCCTTTGCGTGCGCTTGCGTCAGCCTACATCGGTGGAACTAAGATCTGTGCTGTTTGTACTGTACACCATCTGTACTGTGCACCATCTGTACTGTGCACCATATGTACTGTACATCACTTGTACTGTATGCCATCTGCACTGTACACCACCTGTGCTGGATACCATCTGCACTGTACACCACCTGTACTGTATACCATCTGTACTGTACAACCATGTGCACCGCACACCGTCTATACTGTATACCATCTGTACTGTCGCAGGACGCACATGAAACAGAGCCCAACAGCTTATGGTGCCCCTATTCTATCTAACAGATCTTGCCCCAACATTTTGTGAGGCCATCCGGGGGGGGGGACATTTGTCTTTGTTGTGCGCGTGTTGTTTGAGTGCAGTGCAAAAGCGGAGGCTGCTCTGCTCCGTGTTCCTCTGGGTCACGTTCATGTACTTCTTCTGGAAGCTGGGGGACCCCTTCCCCATATTGAGTCCACGGCACGGTAAGCATCACCGTCATCATCGCCATCATCGTCATCATCGTCATCATCGTCATGACAATTGTCATCACTATCATCTTCACCGTTATTATCGCCATCATCGCCATCATCGTCATCACTATCACCATCATCACCATCATCATCCATCATCACTATCACCATCATCACCATCATCATCCATCATCACCATCACCGTCATCATCGCCATCATCGTCATCACTATCATCACAATTGCCATCACCATCGTCGCCATCATCATCGTCATTACCATCGTCATTTTTACCATCACCTTCACCATCGTCGTCACCATTGTCGTCATCACCATTGCCATCGTCATCACCATCGTAATCACGATTATGATCACCATTGTCGTCATCACCATTGTCGTCGTCACCATCGTCGTCACCATTATCGTCATCACCATTGTCGTCAATACCATTGTCATCCTCACCATCATCGCCACCATCGTCAACATAACAGAACAACCGCCGTTCGGCACTAAGTGACGGTGACGTCACCACGGCGCTTGTGCCAGGCTGGGTGCACCATCGTCGTCGCCGTCGTCATTGCGAACCTCCACCCCACCCCCTGCCCGATAGCCACGGACTCTCCCCCCCCAACAGAGACCCTGAGCTCTCTCCGCGCATCTCGTTTTTCTACGTCCCCGCTCCCACGCCGCCCTCGTTGGTACAGGGATCCTGTCCATCGAGCAGCTCATCAGCAGGGTGGGCGTCATCGGGGTCACGCTCATGGCCCTGCTGTCCGGATTCGGCGCTGTCAACTGCCCCTACACGTACATGTCCTACTTCCTGCGGTACGTAGCCCAGCGGCGTCAATCACAGTCACAATCACTCCAGGCCACGTGGTTTCACGAGCGTGTGGAGTGATTGGTTTCACGACGAGGCTGTTGACACAATTTGTGTGTGCAAGGGGCTGATGGTGCCACGGTGGCTAGGGAGACATTAACTACCTCGCCTGGTATACAGGAGGTCGTGGGTTCGATCCTTGGACCCTGAAGAGGCCTGCTGTTGTCTATGTGGAGTCTGCCTCTCTCCCCCTAACCTTCTCTCTATCGCCATGGTGGCTCGGAGATGTTAACTACCTTGCCTGGTATACAGGAGGTCGTGGGTTCGATCCTTGGACCCTGAAGAGGCCTGCTGTTGTCTATGTGGAGTCTGCGTCTTTCTCTCCCCTAACTCTCTATCGTCATGGTGGCTAGGAGACGTGAACTACCTTGCCTGGTATACAGGAGGTTGCGGGTTCGATCCAGACCACTGAATATTTTACCAGGTAAGGCCCCCATACTGAGCTATGTAACTCTTTTCAGAAGTGACCTGAATATCACAAATGGTAGCTCAACGAAGTTGGCTTATCACCATCACGTACACATTTATAGCAGCCAAATACGCATGTTGTTGATTCGAAATGTGGTGGGAAAACCGTAGGACCTGCAGAATAACCCACGGGGAGAGAGAGAGACATGCAAACTCGAAATATACAGCAGCAGGCGTCCAAGGCCAGGATCGAACCCATGACCTCCTGCATACCAGACGAGGTAGTTAACATCTCCTAGCCACCTTCCTCTCCCCTCGCCCCCTCCACGCTGTCCCGTCCCCTCCCCTCCAACCCTCGGCCTGCCATCTCAATCACTCGATTGTTGTTACCATTTTCTTTTTCCAACTATGTCACAGAGCACCCTGAGTTACGAAGGTGCTTTACGTATGTAAATATACAATCGTATTATCTGTCGGGGGTTTGTACCCAGGAGCGTGACGGACGGAGACATCGCCTCGCTGGAACGACGCCTCCTGCAGACGATGGACATGATCTGTAGCAAGAAGAAGAGGTGAGTGGGTAATGTGGAGGGAGGGAGGGGAACATTCAGGCAGAGGAGGTACAACTTGGCAGGACCCTCCTGATAAGGAGTCTTGAGACTCGGTGTCGCTGGGTAAGCAAGCGTCATCATAATAACAATCATTATATTTGGTCTGCAATCACTTCCATATCCACCTGTTTCGTTCTTTAAATCTACCCCTCTATTTAAGGAACGAAACAGGAGGATTTCTCCACAAATCTGGCCTGATGATGCTAGTTGTAATTACTGGCGAAACGTCGTACTAAGGTTTGATATGTTGTGGCTTTGCTCTACAACACACCGGTTAGTGCTGTACTAGTGACGAATTGGCACGTTCTGTTTACGTGACAAACCTTACTAATTTAGCTGTGTCGGGTGGTGGCGGGTTTAACGACACTTTTATATATTTACGCGATCTAACCCAAAAAAATTGTATTATGGGCGTTATATCCAATTCACCAAACAGATCCCCGCGTGTGGGTAGCATTTAGAAGCATCCAGTAGCATCCCAATATCTCGTGTGATGATGATGATTCGACCGAGGCGGGCATACGACTGCTTATTACCGCTCGCGTATTACATATCCAATTCACGTTATGAAAACAACACGCGGCGTTACACAGGAGAACATACCGTACAATTGAACCGGCGGCGATTTTAACCAAAACCGGCATGAGATGCGGCGACGCCGACGATGACGCCGACGATGACGCCGACCTTGCCGGCGGCTGTGCCCGCGGTTTTTGCCGCACGCAGGATGGCTGTGATTAAGCGCGAGCTGGTGCAGAGGGGAGGCGAGGAGAGGAAGCCGCTGGGAATCTGGAGCATGATCCGCAGCGTCGCGTCGCCAACGCCCGGCAGCGAGAGTATCCCTCAAAAGTCACGGCACCCTCACCTTGTGCGTGTAACGAGCGCGACCTTTTAATTAATTCGTTCGGCAAATGGAAGCCAATTGGCTCGGCGAGCACCGGACGGACACGGTGTCGGATCTTGCAGTACCTCGTCGCGACACGTGCCGCATAATTTGAGCGGGTCGCAGCCAATCGAGCCTTGCCGCCAAACTCAGCCGCGCACCGCCACTGCGTTGGCGACGCGACGGGCGGGGGCCGTTGCACGCTCCCCCGTTATTTCGCGTCAAATCCTTGACGGCTGCCGCCGCCCCCAGACCTCTCGCTTCTGCAGCAGGAGGTGGACGCGTTGGAGGAGCTGAGTCGGCAGCTGTTCCTGGAGGTCGTCGATCTCCACGCCAACAAGGTCAGCGGCGGCGGGAGGCAGAAGCATCTTCAGAATCTCGAATTATTCGCGTGATGATGATGATGATTATGGTGCATTGGCGGTGGTGCGCAAGTAAACGTAACGCAGACCTCAACACGTTTCGTGTCGACAGCAACGCTGCGAGTCGCCTTCGTAGGGAAATTGTACGACAGCCGCCGTTGCACGGCACTTCCGGAAAGCCGTGTCCTCGAAATACTGGGCCGATTCGAGGAGATGGGCTGCCCCGGTATATAGCAACTTGATTCACAACTTTTTTATAGATTTGAAGCTTTTGTGACTGCAAGGATTCATACTCTTTTTTCGGTAAAGTCACTTAGGTACAAAATTTTATTATAATAATAAAATAAAATAATAATAAGTGAAAATGTATTTATTTTCATTTATTATTATATTTTATTATTAATTTTACCTACCTGACTTTACCGAAAAAACCTAAGAGTATGATTCACAGCTATTTACAATTTTTTTATATTACCAGGTAAGGCCCCACCGAGCATTGTAGTTATTTTTCAGAAGCGATCTGGCAAATCACTAACGATAGGTCGACGAAGTGGGCTTTATCATCATCACGTGGAAAATTATCGTAACATCCAAATACTCCAAAGGTGTGGTGATGTTGATTCTAAAATGTCTAGGCAAAAACCGGAAGGACCGGGAGAAAAGTCCTTGCGACCACGTCCTGTAGACCAGGCGAGGTAGTTAACATCTCACCACTGTGATGATGAGAGAGAGAGAGACACCGCAAGCTCCAAATATACAGCAGCAGGCATCATCAGGGTCGGGATCGAATCCACGGACCTCCTGTATACCAGGCGAAGGTGGTTAACATCTCCTAGCCACCGTGATGATGATGATGAGCGAGAGAGAGACACCGCAAACTCCAAATATACAGCTGCAGGCATCGTCAGGGTCGGGATCGAACCCACGGATCTCCTGTAGACCAGGCGAAGGTAGTCAACATCTCCTAGCCACCATAGCGAGATGGCCTACCGAGGTCCGTTCCTTTTTAACAACATTCCAAAAAACACCGCGGCACACCTGGGATTCATACCCGCTGCGTCACATTGGTTGCGACGCTCCGATCCAGCTGCGTGTCGCGTTTGGGCGCGGTACCAGGAGTAATGTAATATCGACCCTTGTTACACGCTTTTTTATTTAACTTACTCTGTTGTTGTTGTTGTATCCTCAAATCTTGTAACTCAAATTTAACCAACTTCCCAATGTGGTATCGACTGCAAACTTGGTATACGTATGTCATAATGGTGACAATACTATATTCTATCATTAAAAAAAAAATTACAATATTTTTTATATGTGATGTTTCGGTTTGGTTCTAATTGTCCTCGGTAAATTGACGTTGGCTGTAATTGACCACTGTCCCTTACCTTATGGCAAGCTTCGGGGCCACTTCCTGGAGTCGTGGAGTTCTTCCATTACTAGTACGGTACATTTCATTAAAGCGTGATTTTAAAAAAGTTTATATTTTTTACTCTGTAGGAGAGAATCGCCTACTCGAAGACTTTCCAGGGAAGGTATTTCAACGTCATGGGTTATTTCTTCTCAATCTACTGCGTATGGAAAATTTTCATGGTGAGTCGTCTGTTTGCTTTGTAGTCAGAAAATGTTTACTTTGATGAGACCAAAAAATATATATAATCTTCACATTGCAGCTAACCCCAAAGCGGATGTTTCAGTTTCCACACTTATTAATAATATTTTTGTCTCGCCGCTTGTTTTGGCATTATGGTCCCAATTATACTAAATGTTTAAATAATTACACCACAAACTACACAATTCTCATAGCTACACTGCCCCCCCCCCCCCCCCGAGTCTGCCAAACTACTTCTATAAGTTCTAGATTTGAAGTTTTCGTGACTGCAAGGATTCATATTCTTAGGTTTTTCGGTAAAGTCACGTAGGTAAAAAATTTTATTTAATAAAAGTAAAATAAAAATAAAATAAAAATCACGACGTTTCGGAGGCAACACAAGCTTCCATCTTCAGGTGGAACCGTCACGGCACGATAGCTGTATAATCTCAGCTTGTTGGAATTTCTCTTACTTGATACAGCTATCGTGCTGTGACGGTTCCACCTGAAGACGGAAGCTTGTGTTGCCTCCGAAACGTCGTGATTTTATTTAATTTTACTTTTATTAATTTAATTTTTTTACCTACGTCACTTTACCGAAAAACCTAAGAATACTTATATAAGGTCACAATCATTTATGCACAAAGAGCTTGTCACAAATGAACCACAGTCACCTTGCTGATCTCATCAAGGAGCATAAACCATCATTACCCGAACTCCGGTCATCCTTGCAGCAGCGGCGGCGGCTTTTGGCTCGGCAGTCGAACAAAGAACGTTGGTCACCGCACCCCCACGGCAGCGTAGGGGAGGCCCTCATCCAGCAGTGGATTTACTCAAGTGCCGCGCATTCACGTTTAGCCGTGCTGCGGTGGACGACGATCACGTTCCTCACGTCCGCTCTTCGCATGCCTTGTCCTCGTGTGTCAGCTGTGATCGGGGGGGGGTGCAATAGGCCCCGTCACCCACTCTTGTGTCTGTGATGTCTGTTCGTTGAAGTTACGTACCGTGTGTAGCCAACTGTGCTAATTGGAGGTGCGGTGGGAAGCACAACAAATTAAACACAACAACAACAAGCAGTTGTAATGAAATTCGTTTGCAATCTATGCGAGTCTGTGGGTCTGTGGGTGTCTGTGGGTCTCTGTGAGTCTGTGGGTGTCTGTGTGAGTCTATGGGTCCCTATGGGTCCCTACGTGAGTCTATGGGTCCCTACGTGAGTTTACGGGTCTCAATGTGAGTCTACGGGTCTCTATGTGAGTCTACGGGTCCCTATGTGTGTATGTTGAACTTCTTACGCAACGTACGTAGCCACCGGTGCTCATTGGAGGTGTGGGGGGAAGGACAACAAACTAAACACAACAACAAGAAGCAGTTTTGAAGAAATGAGTCTTCAATGTAGGTGATACTTGGCTCCCAGTGTTTGTCCCTTGTTGATTTTCTCGTGTGTACGTGTTTTTTTAGGCCACTATAAATATCGTGTTTGACCGAGTTGGAAAAACGGACCCAGTGACCCGCGGAATTGAAATCACTGTCAATTACCTGGGCATTCATTTTGACGTGAGTATGAGTGCGCGTTAGACACCCACCCCTCTCTGTGTGTGCCGTGCCCGGCCTTCGTAGGCGCTGCTACTCGCTAACAGCACTTGTCCCAACAGTCTGTTAAAGGCTATACGGGGGATCTTTGTCATGTCCATGTGCACATGTGTGGTTGTGTGCAAATGCCCAGCCCACTGCATGCCCAAGCGACTTATGTTTGGCCGGTATGGATGGGGCTGAACGGGGGCGGCACGGGCTAGAGAGGAGATGGAGTGATGCGATACGGGAGGATGTGAAGCTGAGTGGACTTTCCGATGGCTGGTACCAGCAGTGTCAAGATCAGTCTCTGTGGAGGAGGCTCGTGAAGGACGCTGCTACTGGGCAGTTGGAGGCAGTCGCCCTCCAGCAACAACAGAGGGCAGAGGAGCGACGCTCACAACAACGTGCGGAGCACCGGGCAGCTAAAACGCAGACAGTTGGCACAGTGGTGGAGCACAGATGGTGCAGCTGCCGGTCATCTCAGTCAATAAACCCATGGCACCTGCAGGGTCTCTCTCAAGACCTCCTGCCAGCATTGAGCCTGCGACACTTCATGTGGCCTCAAAATGTACCTGGCCTGGCGCAAGCGCTGTGGTGACGTCACCGCCACTGACTGTATGATACATGTACCTTCGTATATATGTATATATATGTGTACATTCATATGTGTGTATATATGAGTGTGTGGGTGGGTGTGGGTTTAAAAATACATCGTGTTGCCCTCCCCTGTGCAGGTTAAGTTCTGGTCTCAGCACATTTCATTTATCCTCGTTGGGATTATCATCGTCACGTCTATCCGAGGCCTCCTCATCACTCTCACTAAGGTGGGGCTCACACAGACACTCGCGCAAACACAAAGACAAAGATCCCCCGTATAGCCTGTGACAGACTGTAGGGGCAAGTGCTGTTAGCAAGTAGCAGCACCTACGAAGACCGGAACGGCACGCGAGGGGGTGGGTGGCCAGCACCACGCCCGACCGCCTTTCTCTCCCCAGTGGCAATGTTTGCGACACACCCTGCCAGGTACTCATTTCAGGCTGAGTCGACCTAGGGGAGGCCCAGGACCGGTTCACATAACCGACACTGGTGTTGGCCATGAGCGGGAATCGAACTCGGGTCGCCGGGTTCATAGCGCAGCGCGCTAAACACTACACTACCGCTCCCTACAGACATACAAAGACAAAGATCCCCTGTATAGCCTTAACAGACTGTAGGGGCAAGTGCTATTATCGAGCACCTTTGAAGGCCGGAACGGTACACGAGGAGGTGGGTGGCCAGCACCACGCCCGACCGCCTTTGTCTCCCCAGTGGTGATGTTTACACACCGCACCAGGTACTCATTTCAGGCTGAGTCGACCTAGGGGGGCCCAGGACCGGTTCACATAACTGACACCGATGTTGGCCTTGAGCGGGAATCGAACTCGGGTCGCCGGGTTCGTAGCGCAGCGCGCTAACCGCTACACTACCGCTCCCTACAGACACACACATATTCGTGCACATGCACACACACAAAAACGATGATCTCAAGTGTACTGTTAGCGAGAACAACGCACACGTGCACATCCATTGACCAGCGTGGTGAAGTATGGCCCAACAAGGTGGTAGGCGTGTGCATGTGTGTGTGTGTGATCAGATTTGTGTGCCTTCATGTACGTGGGTATGTTGAACTTCTTTCGCAACGCACGTACCCAACGGCGCTAATCGGAGGTGCGGGGGAAGGACAACAACACTAGACACGAAAAGCAGTCAATCGACAGTGATGAGTCTATGGGCAGTGATGAGTATATGGACAGTGATGAGTATGGTGCAGTGTTGAGTCTATGGGCAGTGATGAGTCTATGGGCAGTGTTGAGTCTATGGGCAGTGTTGAGTCTATGGGCAGTGATGAGTCTATGAGCAGTGTTGAGTCTATGGGCAGTGTTGAGTCTATGGGCAGTGATGAGTCTATGGGCAGTGTTGAGTCTATGGGCAGTGTTGAGTCTATGGGCAGTGATGAGTCTATGGGCAGTGATGAGTCTATGGGCAGTGTTGAGTCTATGGGCAGTGATCAGTCTATGGGCAGTGTTGAGTCTATGGGCAGTGTTGAGTCTATGGTTCAGTGTTGAGTCTATGGGCAGTGATGAGTCTATGGGCAGTGATGAGTCTATGGGCAGTGGTGAGTCTATGGGCAGTGATGAGTCTATGGGCAGTGTTGAGTCTATGGGCAGTGATGAGTCTATGGGCAGTGATGAGTCTATGGGCAGTGTTGTATGAATGTTGAATTTATTTGGCAGGCTACGTAGTCAACCGTGGTAATCGGAGGTGGGGAGGGAAGGACAACAAACTAAACACACACAAATCTCTTATCGAGACACCTGGCACGAGCATCTTGCTTTCCAGAGCATCTGGTAATCCAGAGAATCCACACTATTGTTTATTACTCCAGACAGCAAGGTCACGTTGCACGACTGTTGTTGTTTTGCAGTTTTTCTACGCTATCTCAAGCAGCAAGTCATCGAATGTCATCGTGCTCGTGTTGGCTCAGATCATGGTGAGTGCAGTGCAGTGAGCAGGAGATGTTAACTACCTCGCCTGATGTACAGGAGGTCGTGGGTTTGATCCTGACCCTGACACCTGCTGTATATTTGGAGTTTGCGGTGTTTCTCTCTCACCCGTGGTCGCGTGGATTTTTCTCTGGGCCCTCCGTTTTTTCCCCTCCGCATTTAGAATCGACATCACCACGCGTTTGGAGTATTTGGCTGCTGTCAAATTTACACGCGGTAAACCCACTTTGCCGAGCTATCATCTGTGATAGCCGGGTGATCGCTTCTGAAAAAGAGCTACACAGCTCAGCGGGCCTTACCTGGTAAAATAAAACAAAAATTGTTGTTTTAAACAGTTTATGCATACACGCGTGTATGTGTCAACAGCACTGGGGATACAAAGACGGCCGGGCGTGGTGTTCGCCACCCCACCCCCACTTGTGCCATGCCAGCCTTCATCGGTGATGCTCGCTAAAAGCACTTGCTCCTTTAGTCTGTTAAAGGCTATCCGGGGGATCTTTGTCTGTGTGTTTTGTTTGCTGTCTGTGATTGTGCAAGTGGCTATTTCTCTGTGTAATCATTAAGAATAAGAATTTGTACTTAACTATGATGACTAAGCTATTGTTTTTCATGTTTTCTCCAACACACTACACACACTACATACACAATACACACACTACACACACCACTACATACACACACTACACTACACACATATTACACACTCTACACTACATACATCCACACTACACTCCATACACACATTACACACCCCCCACACTAAAAACACACACCCTCACACACTACACACACCATACACACACCATATATACACACTACATACCCCCACACTAAACACACACCTCCTACATAAACTACACACACACACTACACACACACACCATACACACACAACACACACTACACACACACTACCCACACACCATACACACACTACACACAACATACACACACACTACCCACACTCCATACACACACTCCATACACACACTACACACACACACACTACACACACACACTACACATACTACACACAAACTACACACACACTACTCACACACCATACACACACACACCATACACACACTACACTACACACACACTACACTACACACACCATACCCACTTCACTTTACACATGCGCACGCCCTCCACCCGTGCGTGTGCGCAGGGCATGTACTTTGTGTCCTCGGTGCTGCTCATGCGCATGAGCATGCCGCCCGAGTACCGCGTCATCGTCACGCAGGTGCTCGGAGACCTGCAGTTCAGCTTCTACCACCGCTGGTTCGACGTCATCTTCCTCGTCAGCGCCCTCTCCAGCATGGCCTTCCTCTACCTGGCGCACAAGCAGGCTCCAGAGAAGCACATGCTTCTCTAGCAGCGGCTGCTGAAACGACGGCGGCAGCAGCAGCAGCAGCAGCTAGAGTGGAAGCAAAAGCAGCAGCAGCTGAAGCAGCAGTAACACCTCAAGCAGCAACAGCAGCTAAAGTAGCTAAAGTGGAAGCAGCAGCAGCAGGAGCTCCTAAATTGGAAGCTGCAGCAGCGGATGAAGCAGCAGCAGCAGCTAAAGGGGAAGCAGGAGCTGAAGCAGCAGCAGCAGCCGAAGCAGCCGAAGCAGCAGGAGCAGCTGAACCAGCAGCAGTAGCTAAAGCAGCAGCAGCTGAAGAAGCGGCAGCAGCTGAACCAGCAGCAGCAGCTAAAGAAGCGGCAGCAGCTGAACCAGCAGCAGCAGCTAAAGCAGCAGTAGCTGAAGAAGCGGCAGCAGCTGAACCAGCAGCAGCTGAAGAAGCAGCAGCAGCTGAAGAAGCGGCAGCAGCTGAACCAGCAGCAGCAGCTGAAGAAGCAGCAGCAGCTGAACCAACAGCAGCAGCAGCAGCTGAAGAAGCAGCAGCAGCTGAAGAAGCGGCAGCAGCTGAACCAGCAGCAGCAGCAGCAGCTGAAGAAGCAGCAGCAGCCGAAGCAGCGGCAGCTCCGCTCCTCGATAAATGTACAGCTCGCTTTGTCAGTCCACTGCTGGCTGAAGGCCTCCCCATGCCGTGTTGAGTCACGGGCGGGTTGTTTGACCATACCTCACCTTGCTGGTCAGTGGGGGTTGGTGAAGGGGGTCGGGGCGGCACCGGTTGCAGATGTCGCTCGCCAGGAATATAACGGCCGAGGGCCGAGAATCGAACTCGGGCCGCCGGGTTCACAGCGCGGGGGGGGCGCGCTAACCGCTGCGCCTCCGCTCGCGTCCCTCCGCGTCCTTCGTCGGATGACGTCACATTTACGCGGCGGCAACATTTTTGTTTTATTTTAATTTATTTGGCCGGGCAAAGCTCGCGCGAGCGTCGCTACGACGTCGGATTTTAAGGAGCGCGCACCACCACACACCCCCGGTGATGTTTTGTGACGGTTCCGTTTGTCAGCGGCGTTTTGGTTGGTGGACGTCTGGAGGTCGGTGGGGGTTTTTTTTTTAAGGGGTAGTGGTTGTTGTGGTTGTTGTGGTTGTTGTGGTGGTGGCGAATGAAATCTGTCAACAACAACAGCGGAAATAACACTGGGATTAAAATCGTTCTTTATTTTTCACACCAGCCTCTGCGTGTGTGTCTGTGCGCATGCATCGGGCGTTGGTGCTGGCCACCCACCCCCTCGTGGCGGCCTTCGTAGGCGCGCCGCTACTCGCTAACAGCACTTGAACCTTATGGCGGGACCCCGGGCTCTCGAATTAAACGGATTTATTTTTGCCGACTCCGTCCCACCAGGCACATGAACGCCGCGACCCGCCTGTCGCGGATCATTCCGTTGTCGTGTCGTCCAAGTTGCAGCATCGAGGACGAATGCGTAAAAGAAACAAAACTTTGATCGGCGCGTCGTGTAGAGCTCGTCGAGAGGAACAGATCGCCGCGTCGTTCGCCTTCAACAGACATAAAACGACGTCGCAACGCAGTTCATGCGAGAGCCGGGGGCTTATGGGACCCCGGGGATCCGGCCATGAGGTTCGCTTGCCCCAGTGGTCTGTTACAGGCTACACGGGGGGGGGGGGGGGGGGGGATCGTTGTCTTTGTTGTTTGGCCCGGATTTTGTCGAACAATAATTGAAGAGGGAGGTCCGATAGACTGATCTGGCAACCGCCGGGAGCCTGCGTTCACATTCACGTGGCAGTCGTAATAATAATAATTATTATTTGCCCAGGGGGATGTTTGGCCAATTATGCTGTGCTTTTTTTTTACTTTGAAAGGAAATCGGAGACACCCGAAGGAAACCCATGTCGAGCAGGGGAAGAACTTTACAAACCCCACTCACAAAGACAAAGATCCCCCGTGTAGCATTCACAGACTGTTGGGGCAAGTGCTGTTAGCGAGTAGCAGCACCTATGAAGGCCGGCAGGGCACACGAGGAGGTGGGTGGCCAGCACCACGCCCGGCCGCCTTTGTCTCCCCCAGTGGCGATGTTTGCACACTGCACCAGGTACTAATTAGAGGCTGAGTCGACCTAGGGGTGGACCAAGATTGGTTCAGATCATCGTCACTGGTGTTGGCCGTGAGCAGGCAAGCGCGCTAACCACTGCGCCACCACTCCCCACTTATACACACCCGGGATGTGCGGTCAGGGGAGGCAGGGGAGGCAGAGCCTCTCCTGTTATACGCCAATTGAAAGAGCTGTTACTAAAAAAAAAATATTAAGATTTTTCCACTGGTCTGTGTTATAAATGTCATTTCTGTACGATTCCAATAATTTTCATTGTCAAAATCGCCAAATTTGCGGAGCTCCGCTGCAAATACAGGAAGACACGAGAGGTGAGGCAGCGACGAGCTCAGCCTCCCCTCTGATTGCGCAACCCCTCAGTAACTGGATGGAGCGCGGGCAATAAGCGCGTGCCTGTTACTATCTCAGTATGTCACCAATGTAATGTTTGTAGACCCCTTCATTACATGTCCTCGCCTTCCATACTCCAGCTCACCTATTTCACGTACGTGTATAAAGATATTTAGGCTCGCTGGTCTCGTCATGAAACTGCAATGAAAAAGCGCCAGGTGAGGCAGCTGCCTCACTGAGGGGGACGTGTCTAACACGCCCCCCTCAGTGAGGACACGTACCCCTCAGTGTGTGAATCTGGCTCTGACATTAGCCAGTGCCTCCCCAGCCATTGACCTGACCGCACGTCACTGATACACACTCGCGCATCGCACGCGCGCGCTCACACTGCATAGCAGGGCAGAGAACATACAAACTCCACGGCAGAGATGCTGCCGAGTCGGGAGTCGAACCTGGGTCCTTCTCGCTGTGAGACACAAGTGTCGGCACTGCAGCACAGAGACGCCTCTGACGAAACTGGGTTATCAAGGTACACGGTGGGGGTAGCGTGCTGCTTTGCCGGCGTCAGGAGCGCACAGACGTTCTTCAACGGGCAGTCCCCCAGGCCCGATATGAATCGCGAAGGCTCTTCGGAGTTATGGTTCACCATATGGGCATTCGGCAAGTGTGGTGAGTTAGTGGGTGTGGTGAGTGAGTGTGTTGTGACCTGCAGCGTGGTGAGTGAGTGCATGGATGGGTGAGTGGGTGAGTGAGTGTCGGTTTGACCTGAAGTGTCGTGAGTGTTGTGACCTGCAGTATGGTGAGTGAGTGGTAGAGTGAGTGATTGGGTGGTTGAGTGTGTGAGTATTGGTGTGACCTGTAGTGTCGTGAGTGAGTGATTGGGTGGGTGTGGTGTGGTGAGTGAGTGTGTTGCTGTGACCTGCAGTATGGTGAGTGAGTGCGTGGTTGGGTGAGTGGGTGAATGAGTGTTAGGGTGACCTTAAGTTTCGTGAGTGTGTTGTCGTGACCTGCAGTATGGTGAGTGAGTGCGTAGTTGGGTGAGTGGGTGAATGAGTGTTAGGGTGACCTGAAGTTTCGTGAGTGTGTTGTCGTGACCTGCAGTATGGTGAGTGAGTGCGTAGTAGAGTGAGTGATTGGATAGGTGAGTGGGTGAGTGAGTGTTGGTGTGACCTGCAGTCTGGTGAGTGAGTGTTGGTGTGACCTGCAGTCTGGTGAGTGAGTGGTAGAGTGAGTGATTGGGTGGTTGAGTGAGTATTGGTGTGACCTACGGTGTCGTGAGTGGTAGAGTGAGTGATTGGGTAGGTGGGTGTGGTGAGTGAGTGTTGCTGTGACCTGCAGTGTGGTGAGTGAGTTGTCGTGACCTGCAGTATGGTGAGTGAGTGCGTAGTAGAGTGAGTGATTGGATAGGTGAGTGTGTGAGTGAGTGGTGTGACCTGCAGTCTGGTGAGTGAGTGGTAGAGTGAGTTATTGGGTGGGTGGGTGTGGTGTGGTGAGTGAGTGATTTGCTGTGACCTGCAGTATGGTGAGTGAGTGCGTGGTAGAGTGAGTGATTGGGTAGGTGAGTGTGTGAGTGAGTGTTGTAGTGACCTGCAGTATGGTGAGTGAGTGATTGTCGGTGTGACCAGCAGTGCGAGTGAGTGAGTGGGCTTTAGAGTGAGTGTGGGTAACCTGCAGTGTGCGGGTTGAATGACACAACGCATCCTTCCACGAGCCCAGACAGACAGAGACATCTTCCCCTACCGACACGACAGGTAACAAAGCCGCGAGCCGCTCCACTTCCAACAACAGCGCTCCGCCGTGATCAACGCTCGCAATGAGTTGGGCATGTTGAGTAAAATCCAATCGTGTCGGCCACGTAAATAAATCCTCTCTGCTCCTGGAGCATTTGCTACCTTAGGCGGTACCGATTTCAGCTCTGGCGGACTTAGACTTTAAGAAACAACCGCGCGCCTTGTCGCTGAGTGGCACAATGGGCATCATTGTGCGCAGGTGTGGTGTGCGCGCGCGCGCGCGTGCGCGTGCCTCTCTCTCTTAGCGGACGCCTGGACGATTTCCCTCGCCGCAAAATAACAAAACAGTTCGAAAAGTAGAGGGGACGGCTTCGCAGGGAAAAAAAAGAGGGTGGGAGAGGGTGAGTGGGTTAGTTGGTGGGTGAGTTGTTAGGTGGGTGGGTGAGTTGGTAGGTGGGTGGTTTGGTTGGTGGGTGGCTGGGTTGGTTGGGGGGTGGTTTGGTTGGTTGGTGGGTAATTTGGTTGGTGGGTGAGTTGGTTGGTTGGTGGGTGAGTTGTTAGGTGAGTTGGTAGGTGGTTGGGTGAGTTGGTAGGTGGGTGGGTGGTTTGGTGGGTGGGTGTGTGGTTTGGTTGGTGGGTGGCTGGGTTGGTTGGGGGGTGGTTTGGTTGGTTGGTGGGTGGGTGGCTGGGTTGGTGGGTTGCTGGGTTGGCCGGTGGGTAGTTTGGTGGGTGGGTGGTTTGGTTGGTGGGTGGCTGGGTTGGTGGGTGGGTAGTTTGGTTGGTGGGTGGTTTGGTTGGTGGGTGGTTTGGTTGGTGGCTGGCTGGGGGGTGGGTGGGTGGGTTGGTTGGTGGGTGGGTGGTTGGGTTGGTGGGTGGTTGGTTGAGTGGATTGGTGGGTACGAGGGTGAGTGGATGCGTGCGTGAGTGGGTGGGTGGGTGGATTGGTGGATGGTCGGTGGGTGGGTAGATCGGTGGGTGGGTGGGTGAGTAGGTCTGTGGGTTGGTGGATGGGTGCCTTGGTGCGTGGGTTTGTGGGATGGCATTCCTTTAAACAGGATGAAAATGTAAAAAAAGGAAAATATTTGGTCTGAATAAAAAAAAGGTGAGGATTGTTTTCTAGCTAAAAATTCCGCAGCACCTGTTTAAACAGTGCCGGTGGAAAGCTGCAGAGAGGAACGAAGCCCTCATTCGACATTTCAGTGGTTGTTTTTTGTTGGGAGGTGGGGGTGCTGTTTTTGAAAAGTGCCTTTAATTATTGAGAGATATCGCACGGTCATTTAACCACGGAATGTGGGCAGCGAAAACGGCGTCGAGAAACGGAGAGAGACGGAGAGCAAAAGAGGAACGGCGTAGATTGGAGAACGTGAGACATTGCACAAAGTGGCCCAAAAGTCAGGACATGTGGTTACATATTCTTGGTTCTTTCGGTAAAGTCACGTAGGAGGGAAATAATAAAATAATACAAATTTTACATAATATAATATACTTCTCACCACGTTTCGGCCACAACGCAAGCATCCGTCCTCAGGTGAAGAAACAGAGCTGTCGGAAAGACAGCGTCTTAATGAGCACTGCTAAGCTTGGCAGCGTATTTTAAGCTGGGTGGGAATAGGAGAGATCCTTGACAAAGGAGTTTACAAATCACATAGGGTTAGTATGCAGGGTGGCCCAAAAGTCAGGACACGGTTATTATAATTCAGGTTGGCCTAAAGGTCAAAACGAAGTTAAGTGCCTTGAATGAAGGCGCTGTCTATAAATATAAAATAAGATTATAAGAGGACGCATGTACGTTAAACTTCTTCTTGGTTCTTTCGGTAAAGTCACGTAGAAGGGAAGTAATAAAATAATAATAAAACATAATATAATTCTCACGACGTTTCGGCCACAACGCAAGCAGCCGTCCTCAGGTGAGGAACATGTCTGTCGAGAAGACAGCGTCATTCAGACGCTGTCTTCTCGACGCTGTCATCGCAGTCACGAAAGCTTTAAATCGAAATTTACGTTGAACTTCTTTCGCACCGTACGTAGCCACCCGTGCTA